GCTTTGTCTTTTCCGTCGGGGGGGGGTGTCGGTCTTTGTTCGGGTCGGTGTTTTTTTGTTTTTTTGTGTTTTTTTTTTCATTTTGTGTTTCTTTCTCCTAAAAAAAAAAAAAAAAAAAAAAAAAAAAAAAAAAAAAAAAAAAAAGAAGGAGGGCATGTAAATACCTACCTCCTAAGGGGTAAAAAGGGGTTCTTGGAATAGTTGGCTTTATGCTAATAACAGGTACCTAGGCGCCCAAAATATTTCTGCCAGAGTTTTCCTGATATGCGATATATATACCTAATAACAGAACAACCTTAATGTCGAATCTCGCCATTGAAAAAAAAAAACCTTAAGGAAGTTCAATTGATTTTACACACTGGGTAAGTAAGTGCAGGTACGTTGGTATGTGGGTCTAGAGATCTGTCAGTTAGTCATACCTTATTATCTTTCTTATGTGGATGTGATTCTGATTGTATCACCTAAATGGTATAAATATTCTCCGAAGGTCGACCTTGGAAGAGGTAATCTGAATTCCCCAAATCCAACACTCTTACACACAATCCCCAGGAGTTTCGGGAAGGCTTTCTCAATTGTAACTTACCACATCCCTCCCTCTGGTTCACTAGCTACCTTCTGTCTACATTAGAGTGACCAGCCTTTACTCATCTCCATCACCTACTGTTTAGGCTCGGCAGTCGTTATTCATCTCCTCTCTCGACTACCATCACTTGAACTTTCGGTTATCCTAAGACTTCAAATGGCGGAGCACAAATCCCTCGTCCCGCTCTCAAAAGTGGAAGAGGGTATGTATCCGCGACGCCCCGCAAGCTCTGGACAATCTATTCTCGAGCGCATGCCGACGGAGTTGCATCGCATGATATTCAAACAATGCGATTACCGCGCTAGAAATATGCTGGCGCAAGTGTGCAGCACGCTACGCTACGCCGGCTATAACTACCGCCGCCTCCGTTGCATCGACATAAAGTATACGCCGGAATACTTGTCAGCTAATATGCGCATCATGCGCGAGGACCCGTCATGTAAGGTTATCCGGGAAAATACGAGGTAAGTATGCTACGCCTAGTAGCTGGAATCATGTGTAGAATACCTACTGACACCTGGAAGGGGCCTGAAGATCACCATTACCAACCAGGAGCTCCGAGAAGGGGTAACCACCCTCGTTACTATCGACCCTGAAAGAACCGCTCGTCAACTTGAATCGATAGGTTTACTCGTTAGTAACATGAAGCTTCTGCGAGAGTTAGAAATTCATTTAGATATCTATCAGGAAGATCCGGAAGTTCGGAAAGTTTTCCAGTACGCTGTGTGCGCCGGCTTTGAGGGCTTCAAGAGTAAAGAATTACGCACCCTGGTATTAGATGGTTTTGCTACCCCGCGAATTTTGTCCGTTCTAGTTGCGTTTCCGGAATTAGAGCATGTAGAATTGAACTCTGCAAGCATCCAAGACACACCCGCGATCAATCAGCATAATATGCCTTTGAAGAAGGTCGAGAGTCTGAAGGTCCAGATCGTCTGTGGTAAATTGATATATATGCTGCAGTATATGCGTAAGTGGTTCGGGATGGAAATTTTTTAGACCTCCGAGATACAAAGCTAATTTGAGCACAGTTATACATCATATATTCCCCAACGTGACGAACGTGGTCATCGGCTGTGACTCTAATTCAGACCCATATGAATATTTAGGAACTACTAACACAATACCTACCTAGTATTTCCAGAAAATTCACCATTACAAACCCCGACATGATGTATACGTCATGCGCGGGGAGTGACAGTGGAGAAAGCTGACCTAGGGATACTACTGTACCTGCATGAAACTTCGGGGAGATCAAGGAGGCCATGTGCGATGGATTGAGCAGGATGTTGAGAGAGGGAATCATGGGAAGGGGTAACAAGGGGGTACAGTTGCGACGAGGCATTCATTCTAGGCCACATGGATGTACCGTCGTGATATAGCTGGATAGATCTTCAGAAAGGTCTGAAGTAAATGAAATTATACATCCCTCCTCCACACGTATAACATTGAAATGTACCTAAGGTACTTTCTGTGCCGGCCTAGTTGTATGAAGTGTAAGTCGGAATAGGTACTGGTAAAAAAATATCATGTGACCTCGGAACCAAACGGCAACGGAGCACGTCGATAAAATGAGTCATGTGATTTTTACACGGCGACTCGGCTCATCACCTATTAAAATTGTAGATAAGAGTGCTAGTTAGGGTTGGATACATTCGATCTACCTGTCACATGACAACAATGTATATATACTCCCACTCAGTGGATCTCAAGTATCGTAACCTTTACACAATACAACAATAATTACACCCATCTTCTTCTGACACTACCCCTGAGATTTTTATTGAGTTAGATTCCCTTAGTAGTCTGTAGGTCAGGAAGACGTTGATGGTCATTTTAGCTTACCGTACGTACCTCCGATTGGTCAAGAGTGTTCTCCGCTTACCTAAAACGGCAATACATTATTTGGGTCGCGGCAGGGCAGGGCACGAAACGGCGGGCCCAGCTTTACAGCTGGCGCCGGAACGCCATTACCCTAGCTGTAGCCCGCTTCAACTTATTGTCAACTTTCTGAGTCAGCATATACCACGGAGAAAAGCACACGCTGAAGGGAAGTATAACAAGCTAAATTCCCCGAGGTGACTCATATGTAAGGATGTTTCTAAAGTAATAATCACAGGTGGAGACATGTACATGGGTAGCGAGCCTATTGACCAAGACAGGCTGCAAGTGAATCTACCTAAGTTGACCAATAAAATGTATTGGAGCAATCTGATAAGCCGGGGGGGCCATCAGATAATAACTGCTTCGCCAGGAGTGGGTACCAACAAGCTTGAAGAACTAGTCGGCTGCATATTCGGAGTTAGGACGGAATACGAACAACCCTCGCATTCCGCTGGATTTCTACCATGTCAGCATGGATATAGATTTTAGTACTTACGGCGCCGAGATCGTACCCGAGAGTCGTCTTGACAGATCCAATTTACCTACCTATTCGCACATTCGTTGGATGGTCCCCCCTGTTCCCGAATAGACAAGATAAATGTCAGGCCTTGAATAAGATATCTCGGATCACCAGGTTACATGCTAGGTATTTTTTACTTAAATTTAGTTGATCGCCCAGCTTGGATTAGGTAGGGTGATACCCACCGAAGTATTAGGTCTATAACATGGGGATGATTGCGAAATTTCACTAATGCAGTAAGCTGTTGGATCCCATACTTGGGTCCAATATAACACCCCAAATAGATTAGGTATATAATACCATATATAATGGCAATGCAGCCGTGTATATTACTTGGGACTCTCTCCTCTTTACTTTACTTCGGAAGCTAGTATAATCAGCCCCTTACTATCGGTGGTTAACAAACTATAGAGTACACGTCCACCATGACTGTTCAAGTTATAGAGAAAGTCTCTGCTAGCCCAGATGCAATAAAGCCGAGTCCCAAATCTACTGGGGTACAGATAGACCCTCTTCTGGTAAGTTGACTCTGATACGGCCCGGCTAAGGAGATAGAAATAACATGGATCTCTTGTGTAATATGGCACGATAGTAACTAACACATCATCAATAGGTAACTTGGAACGGCGACGACGACCTCGAACATCCTTATAATTGGTCCCTTGCACGCAAATGGGCAATTACTATTCTTCTTTCTAATGGCGGCTTAGTAACCCTCATGTCTGGCGCGATGTTGGCCCCAGCTCTTAAGAGCATCGCAGCAGACCTCAAGACTGACGAGGAAGAAACTCAAATATTCCTCTCCATCTTTGTCCTAGCCTTCGCATTTGGTCCTATGGTGTTATCGCCTCTTGCCGAGGTCTTTGGACGCCGACCCGTGTGGATGCTATCGAGCTGCTTCTACATCCTGTGGAACACGGTCGCTGGCTTCAGTCAGACGCCGGGTCTCCTCATTGCGAGTCGCATCCTTTCGGGCATCGGGGCTAGCGCAGAGTTTGCTATCAGCAATCCCGTTTTGTCGGACACTTGGATACCTGAGCAACGTGGAACTTCATTTTCTATTTCGACATTTTTACCCCTCTTGGGACCAGCACTGGGTCCTATCATAGGAGGTGCGGTCTCGCAATCAATTGGATGGAGATGGACTTTCTGGATTCTCTCTATCTACGACGGCCTTCTCGTGGTTATAGCCTTTTTCGTGTTTCCGGAAACATACGAAGTGATCTTGCTCAACAGAAGAGCTGATAAGTTACGGAAACGCACTGGCAAACCTTACTATACTGCGACACAAGCCGCATCCGACACGCTAAAAAGTAGACTATCTATCTCGCTGACTCGGCCGTTCCGACTACTCGTAACCCAGCCTATTCTCCAGGTCGTCGCAATATTCCTAGCCTATAACTTCGGTATACTCTATCTCGTCTTGTCAACATTTGCAACCTTATGGATCGAGCGATACGGACAAAGCGAAATCCAGAGCGGGCTTAACTATATTGCTCTCGTTATAGGCTATACCATTGCCGCGCAAGTCGGAAGTAGAATGATGGATCGGCTGTGGGCGTATCTCAAAGCCAAGGCTGGCAACAACACGGCGCCGGAGTATCGCGTTCCGCTGATGGTCCCCGGGGCCGTTCTCATCCCGCTCGGATTGGTGATTTACGGATGGACGGCGGAAAAGCACTTACATTGGATAGTCCCCGACGCTGGTATCGCCATCCTCGGTTGCGGTATTATAAATAACACGCAGTCGCTGCAGGCGTATGTTATGGACGCGTATCGTCAGTATGTCGCGTCCGCCGCGGCGGCTTCGCAGTTTTTACGTAGTATTGCGGGTTTTGCTTTTCCTATCTTCGCGCCGGCGATGTATCAGAACCTCGGGTACGGGTGGGGTAATAATGTTCTTGCGCTCACGTTCGTCGTTATCGGATGGCCTGCCCCTTTTCTCTTGTGGACGTATGGGGCCAAGCTAAGGGCGATGGGAAAGACGCAGAAATAAGTACCTCTTACCTTAAGTACCTAGACAAGTATAATCAGATAAGTTGGATTACGGGAATGTACCCAAACTAGCCCAGAGGTGCAAGGCTTAATACCCGTACGTCATGTGATTCATAACCACTAGGCATCTAAGTAGAGGCGCCGGTGTATCAGAGAATAATTACTCCGTACAATGCTAAGTAACGTCAATCAGGGTATTTTACGTATCCTAGGAATATCCTCCCATAGTTCCCAGTTGAATTTTAGGTAGACTTTTAAATGTACCTAGGTACCTAGGTAGCTAGTATTTAACAATCCCGTGTACAGTGAATATAACACTACCTAGGTAGCATTTAAGTAAAAAACGTTTAAGAGCACCCAACGATTAAGTACTTGGTACTATTCTGAGTACTTAGGTACCTTGAGGTGGTATGGCAACTCCTGGGACCTACGCGGAATTACTTCGCATTGATAAAGTAAAGTTGCTGTTGTTAAGTTGTTTTGATATTTTCATAGCGTCAGCTGGTACTGTTTAGAATTCACTAAATAACGTATGCAGTCACATTTGTCCATGACTTATTAGTAGAAGAACATTCCTACGGGGTAGAAACGTAAATCAACAGAATGTGATCAAAGTTTCTTTTGCTGGTGCTAGATTTTTTCTTTCGTAACCGTCAAGTTGGCATTGTAAATTATCTTATCATTTCAGTCCATGCAACAGAAGTTCTCCACAATGTTCAGCTCTTGCAGAGATTTTCGAACGCTCTTGCACCAAAAAGATAAAAATTAAAATATATGTCCTAAAATAGAACTTACGGTTTATACGCACAGGGCGGGTCTAAAGATCAGGTAGTTACGTAGATACGTTTGTTCCTTATCAGTCCCTACGCGTACCTTTGGAGCTCACCTTCCACCTATTTAAATACCATGAATCACTGATTTTAAGACGACGTGATCTAAAAAGACATGATCCAAAATTCTATAAAAGGCTCGAGTCCCGGAAAAAGTCAAACCATAACAATTCTTTGACCAGACAAACAATTCATACCAAGTCCTTAATCAACACACTCTACAGGTCAAGGTATAAAACTATTAATATCTAATACTCTCCTAAAACCTATTTACTATTGTTCAACAATTCTATTAAAGGAGAGACTATTTAACTCAACTGTCAGGGGTATGAGGCACTAGTACGGATAGGGCCTTATGGCCCACTAGGATAGTGTATATAAGGAGCACGCTGCTCCCTCGAAGGCGCTTCGAAGGGCAAGCGTTAATAGATCACTACTATACACTGCATACTTGATATTCTACGTGCTACTGCTTCTAGTATTCACTCTATGTACGACACACATCACGGGATCCTTCTGACATCAACCGTCTACAGATACCAAAAGACAAGACCTATGCCGATATCCGCGACAAAATGAGTTCCTAGACAGAAACCTTTCTAGATGGGCTCGGTCCCTTGGTCCTGTATAATGGTGGACGTGCGAATGGCCTTGACATGGACATGACATCTATCGAGTCGCTTGCCCCTACCGTCAAGAAGGCGAATTCCTCTCCAAAAGTGTCTTTCTTTTCCTTGGCACTCGAGTTACGACAGATGATCTACGAAGAAGTCTACGACGTATGGTGGGAGTACGGCATATGGGCCGAAGACGGTGACTCGGGCATATACCATTCCCACAGTGGCTTTCCGAATGTCAGACTCAATGAAGTGTGCCGGCAGATGTACCAGGACGTCACACCGTACATCTACAAGAAAGTTTCAATCAGCGACTATTTCGACGACTGGGATAGATTCTTCACTAGCATCGGCGCTCACAATATTTCCAACATCCGCAACCTGACCCTCCACTATAGCTGCTCGATGCGCTATAAAAAGGGGACATGGGAACCCCAGTACTTATGCTACGGACTCGACGAGAACAAGCTTGAATACGACAGATGGGAAACCATATTCTGGTGTCTCTCTCAGGCAAACCTCAAAGCCAAATCGGTGAAGATCACATTCGACACCTGCGATCCTGCCATGTATTATTAAGAGCTTCCCTTCCTGCACGAACTTGAGGGCCGCTACCTGTATTGCCGGTGCCAAGTTTACGAAGATTGGTGGTTCCTTAAGGGCATGTACACATGCTTCAAGAATGTGCAGCGTATAGAGCTCCATTCCACCTTTAATCCGCTCTGGGCCCTTGCCCTGCGCCGCGGTCTCGGATTCGTTCTTAGACGAGATTGTTGAAAAACAGTACTATTCAATCCGGAGTGGATTCACCCCGCGACCGACCTCAAGGATTGCAAATTGATCCGCCCCGACGTCTATGAAATGACTTACCCGCAGTGGGAAGCGTCAGTATGGTAAAGCGAAGCCCAACGCGGTGGAACTGTCAGGGGTGGATAACGTGGAGATGGATAGTGACGTGGGGGAGGATAAGGGAGGAGGAAAAGAGATGACTAGGTGAACTGGAGTTTTATGGATGTTACTTTTCGTTGCGGATTAGAGGCACCGGCGTGGATGAAGTTGCGGACATACGGCATGTCTTGGGACTGTGATGAGAAATCCATGCGGTAATTCCAGGGGGAGGGGGGATGACTATTACTTGGAACTAAAATCTCACTTGTACATGCTGGCGCTCGCATAGACAACACGAAATAAGAGAGTTCCTAGTTTCCATTTTAGGGTGTTGCTATTGATGATAATGGGTGCTTGTGCTAAACTAACTCTTTGTTGTATAATACATTGTGACAATTTCCTTTGTGATACTTTTATACCTCGATAAGTATGTCAGGGATATGTGAAGATACAGTGTCATGCTGTCTATTCAAAGGGTTCTCGACACCCTTGCAAGAGTATAGAAGGCCAGGCGTTACTACATCACTTACATACTCTCCGGAGGTTTACATTAAGTGTATTCGACCTTGAATTAACGGCATCAACCTATCCAAACAGAAGAGAACTGCTGCTATATCTTTTGAATGTTGGACATCGAGTACTTTAGTAGTAAGACCTAGCCCTATACGTAGATGGGCAGTTGTATGGTATAAGTAGTCGACATCTTCGTAGTAAATCTCCGTGATTATCACCGTTTTGAGTCTTGTTGAAGTTGAAATAGGGGCTGCTTAGTCAGCCAGACTTAGGTAAGCCATCGTGACACGCGAGTAAAACAGATACTGACAGATACACCGCTGAGCCAAAAGTGTATTTCTTAATAGCACAAGTGCTATTACAGTCTATCTGACCATGAGTGGTATTACCACCTCATAGATACTTCACTAATAGGTAGCCTAGAGCAGAAAAGAGATTGGTACCTCTTTTGTCTTCATCTTATAGGAGGTCAATTTAAAGTCCTCGATTTATATATTAGGTACGCCTGATGAACGGATAGTATCTGTGGTACTTTCCCTAGACCTTGTCCAACTTCTAGCGAATAGGCGGTTTTTAGCTCCGTACGTATAAAGGACTAGTTCCTGAGTTACGTCCCCTTTTATTATGAGTTTATATCTGATAGCGGTAACGCAGGTACGCCGGTTCTCTCCGAGTCTTGGCTCGTTTTTGGGTGCATGCGGGGAATTGCATCATCCCCGCAGTTACGTACAGTATTAATATTTGGAGTTTCAAACATGCGGAGACGCGCTAAGATTGTTAAGCGTTTGGGGCGTGATAAGGCCGGTAGGGTTAATCGATAAGCCCCATCCAAGGCGGGTCATCGTTTCGAAAAATCACCTGCCGCTGATCCACACCGGTCTTCCCGTCCTCGCCGATTTTCATCGATACCTGCCTAGGTACCTAAATCTAATCTACATTCTACCTCTTATTCTAGTCACCCGTGGAAATTCAACCAACTGATATCCTGCCATGTCTGCTGACGACCAGCAGTTCTTGGACTTGGTTAGTACCCTACTGCTCAATATATACTACCTCCACTTAGTACTTTGTGACGCAGTCAAAACGGATAGATCAACATGCTAACGGATACGATATGACATGTGACAGCTCTCGTCCATCCCCAACCAAATCCGACGATACTCTGGAGAAGTCGCCGACTATGTTGATAAGACTGTCGATAAGGTAGCAGATGAGATCAGGGACACACTTTCGTCGGCACAATGGGTACCCGACTACGTGCGACCAAAACCCACTGCCCGACCGCCGGCGGTCGAGATCGTGTCTAGGACTACACTAGAGAGTATACAAGACTGGTTTTCTCGCCATAAGATCCTTTGCGGCGTGGTGGTGATAACTGCCGGATACATAACGTATAGGTCGGTGAAGTACACCAGGCAGCTTCGCAAACCTCGTCGGGCAAAGCGTGCTCGGAACGGCGGCAGACTTGAAGTTGTCGTCATCGCCGGATCACCGACCTTGCCGCTGACCAAGGCGTTATCCTTGGATCTGGAGAGGAGGGGCTTTATTGTATACGTTGTTTGTAACTCGATCGAGGATGATGTCACAGTGCAGGGTCTTTCACGACCGGACATCAGACCCTTGGGTATCGATATAACTGATGTGAGTATTTCAAGCAAGCTGAAAATGACATCTCGAAATGTCTCGTGTCTAACATATCTATCCGTGCAGCCGCCGAACGCTGCTCGAGCAATCGAACGATTCGCCAACTATCTCCAAACACCGCATGCCGCTGTCCCACGAGCAAAGCCTAACTACCTAGTATTGAAGGCGGTTATCCTAATCCCCTCGCTCAACTACCAAACCTCCCCCATTGCCACAATCCCTCCCTCGAGTTTCGCCGACCTGTTCAACACCCATCTTCTCCACCCTATACTCACTATCCAAGCTTTCCTACCTCTCCTCACGTCTAAAATAACACCTCAAGGAGAAACTACCGGGTCACCCAGAGTCCTCGTCTTCACACCCTCCATCATCTCCTCCATCAACCCCCCATTCCACGCCCCCGAAGCAACCGTCTGTTCCGCCCTCTCGGCCTTCACCGAGGTCCTAACGGCCGAGCTCCGGCCCCTCGACATCCCCGTAACCCACATCCAACTCGGCACCTTCGACTTTGCCGGCTTTACGCCTACGCGACCAAATAATAATAATATCCTCAACCTCCCTCCTTCCTCTTCTTCTGCGGCGGGCCCGACGACCAACTTCCCCACCACGGGCTTCCAGAACCCGCTGCTCGCGCCGCCGTCGCCCGCCGAGACCCTCGGCTGGCCGGAGTCGGCCCGGCGCACGTACGGCCGCAACTACGTCTCGCAGTCGGCGTCGGCCATCTCGGCCGGGCGCATCCGCGGGCTCCGCGGCAGCTCCCTGCGCGAGCTGCACAACGCCGTGTTCGACGTGATCGACGGGTCCGGGGACCGCGGCGGCGACGTCGTGCGCGTCGGCCTCGGCGCCGGCTTGTACGGCTTCGTCGGCCGCTGGGCCCCGCGCGGCGTGGTCGCGTGGATGATGGGCATCCGCAAGGTGGATGAGCTGAGCGCTTGGGAGGGGAGCGGGAGCGGAAGCGGGGTTGGTGGCAGTGGACGGCCGGGTAGTGCGAGTGGGAGCAGTACGAGCGAGAAGAGCACGGGGAGCGAGAATGGGGTTGGTGTCGGTGAGGGCAGCGAGTTTATTGCTGTGGCGAGGGAGCATGATGGACATAATGTCTGGAAAGAAGGGTGAGTGAGCAATCAGAGGGGATTGTGATAGGCAAGGTTGAGTGAGTAAAGGAAGGAATGAAGGAAGTAAAGGGGGTAGGCGGGTTTGCTTTTTGGTTGGTTGATTGGTTGGTTGGTCGGCGTCGCGTCGTGATGATTGACGGATAGGATGGGATGATGGGATTACCTATATCACAAAGGCTGTAATGTAGGTATGTACATGCGGCGGGGGGTGAAGACTGGTCCTCGCTTCTCTTTTTACGTGGATAGTGGCTTGTTTGGCCACTCAGCTTGGTTCACATCAACACATATACAATCTACGATTAATGGGTTTGTTTGAGTGGTGGTGGTGGTGGTGGTGACAATAACTTGATTGCTACCTACCTAGGTACCTATACTAACTTAGGTAGTAGTAGTATGCATATCTTGGGGATATCCTGTTTCCTGTCTCGTCTTCTCTTTTTTTCCCGACTCCTTTCTACAGCGGCTAGGTTAGGTACCTAGTAAGTGTGGTGTAGTAACACAGCTAACCTTCGTAGAATATGGCCATAAATATCCTAATACAATACTTCGACATGTTTGGTGATGTTGATATTTTGTGTACTCCTCCTCCTCCATGACAATTCGGGTATCAAATTTCTTTTTCTGCTTGATTGCGTTCAACACCCTCGAGGATTTTCGCGTCTTGGTAAATAAAAACAGCGAGTCAACCGAGTCGAGAGTAAATTGTTTGCACGCGTGCATGTCGAAATCGGTGGCGATAAACCCTACCCGCTCAAGAGTTCGGGCTGTATACCGAAATGCCTGGGCAACTGATTTCGTACACCTCTGCTCTGCTCGCGTTGAAAGGTTAGATAGGAGGTAGATATGGTATGTTATGTTATATAAAGACGCATCACCTCTAATGATGGCCTCTTCCACGCCCGAATTTCCTGTCGCCTCTTCCCCTCCACCGACCGCCGCGTCCACCACCAAATCTATCCCCTCGGCCGCCCTTGCTATCCCTGTCCTGCCTCCCAAAGTCCTTATGGTCCTCGTCCATGAACCCGTCGTCCCTCCTCACGGGCTCCTCGTGCACGACGTCCGCTTTGGCAATAGGCTTTTCGAGATTCTTGTCCCATCTCGGGTGCGCGCCTTCCTTGCAGCCCTTGCCGTCGGGACAGAAGCCTGCGAGGTAGTACGGGCAGAGCTTCCGTCGGACGTGTTTCTTCGAGCAATTGGGTCCCAGGGGGCAGAAGCCCTGGTCGTAGTGCGGGCAGGGGGGGAGCTTGGACTGGGGGTCGATGTGGAGGTACAGGCACTCGTCGCCGTTAGAGCAGTACCCGTTGCGGACGAAGAAGTTGCACTCGGGCATCTTGCGGAGGTTGTACTCGTGGAGGAACTCGCAGCTCTCTCCCTTTTTGCAGAGGGCGCGCAGCCAGTGCTTGCACACGAGCGAGTTGTAGCTGGCGTTGGTGCTGCTGGCCGCGTTGGGCGCGACGTGCCGGTCCGGGCACGAGGCGCCGAGGGGGCAGTGGCCCGCGACGAAGGCCTTGCACACGGGCCGGTTGGGCGGGAAGCCGTGGCCGTAGTTGGACCGCAGGAAGGGCGAGAAGCTGAACGTGTAACTGGGGGCTTTGTGCTCGAGGATCTGCTTCGCCAGCTCGGAGGGCGGCGGAGGTGCCGTTGCCGAAGCCATGACGGATGTAGTACCTAAGCAATTTTGCTGAGCCGAATTTTGTTGTTGGTCTTTTGGAGATCTGTACTGTTGCCAATCGTATACGGAGTATTTCTTGGGCCACGTGGGGGTGGCAATTGTAGGATATCGTCAAGCTAGAAGTGTGATGTTTTAGTAACAATTGGAATGCCGTTCAATGGAAATGCGATAAGCTAAAGTCTACCTACCTAAGGTACCTAATTTAGTAGTACGCAAGTACCTAGGTACATATGTACCTAAGGTACCTCGTTTAGGTAGGCTAGAAGGTGTAGGTACCTTTGTATCTTTCAGGCTAGCTGGTGGGCCAGCCGGGGGCAAGGAGCTTATGTGGGGGCGAATTCAAAAGTCTCCCATTAATTCATGGAACTGCATAGGTTAGGTACATATTTCCTTATAAACAAGTTGTGGCCTATGCAGTTATAAATATATTGTCTGCCGCCGACTTCGACATTAAATAATTGGTGGAATTTAATTAATCGGTATTAAGTTAAGTATTCTGGGTGGTATAGCTTAGATCCGTCCCGTCCCCGGATGGATCTGCATTGCATAAAATGCGGGGGAATTGGAGATCATAACTGCTTTTTCTTATTCAGCTTGTTCTAAATCTTGTTCACCGGCTTCAATAGTCCCTTTTATCGTTCCATTGTTAGTGACGAATTAATATCAGTTCACACCACCTTCGTAAAGGTAACGACTTGCTTCGACATCGCGTACCTTTCGATACACATATGTACCTAACCTAACCTAGGTATGATGTAAGTTAGAATATCATAATGAAGATACTCGATTCTATAATCCAATGGCTTCCACCTATCGGGAGTGGAATGACATACACTACTACCACCGAACAATCCGCCGACATGCTCGGCTTGGATCCATTTATTTTGTCATTTATAGTCCGACTTGATTCCTGGTATGAACAATTAAGCATCACTTCTCGTTTACTTTTATTCTCCAGTCTCGTTTCATCCTTCCTCATTACATGGAACTGGTGTTCTGGAAGATTGAATAAGGGCACAATGGTTCGACATATCGTGCTGCTCGCAGCAACTCTGCTGTCGTTGTCGAGTCTCGTCCCAGCGCGGCAGATATCTACGAGAGACGACGCTGATGAGGATCCAGACGTTGGTCTGCCCATTATCCCCAATATTATTGATCCACAAGCCATCAACGCCCAAACTGCCTGTCCGGGTTACGTAGCTTCTAATGTCAAGAACACGAGCAATGGCTTTACGGCAGACCTCACATTAGCTGGAGAAGCTTGTAATGTTTACGGCACCGATATCGAAGCTCTGAGCTTGACAGTTGAGTATCAAGCGGCGGATCGACTGCACGTCGAGATACTACCCCGCTACATCGGCACTGAGAATTATACATGGTTCATTCTCCCGGAGGAATTGATCCCCAAGCCTCAAACCGAAGAAGGCTTTGACTCTTCGGAAAGTGATCTCCATTTCACTTGGAGTAATGAGCCGACATTCTCATTCAAGATTACTAGAAGAAGCACCAATGATGTTTTGTTTACCACCGAAGGCTGTCGATTAGTTTACGAGGACCAGTTCATCGAATTCGCCTCGGCTTTACCTGATAACTACAACTTGTACGGCCTTGGCGAGGTCATTCATGGCTTTAGACTTGGAAACAACCTTACTCGTATGATGACCTTGTTCTCTTTTTTTCTGACATGAGCTAATCCATACCAGGGACACTTTTTGCAGCTGATGTGGGTGATAACATTGATGCAAACATCTACGGAAGTCATCCTATCTATCTTGACACTCGCTACTTCGAGGTTAATAAGGATACGGGGGACTTGAAATACGCCCCTGATGCCACGGACAAATCAGCTCAGTACAAGTCTTACACGCACGGTGTTTTCCAGCGTAACGCTCATATCCAAGAAGTTCTGTTGCGAGAAACCAATATTACCTGGAGAGCGCTCGGCGGTCAGATCGACCTCTACTTCTACGAAGGTCCTACTCAGGATAAAGTGACTAAGTCATACCAGAAGAGTGCCATCGGGTTACCCGCCATGCAGCAGTACTGGACTTTTGGATACCACCAATGCAGATGGGGCTACAATAACTGGACCGTCCTTCAAGATGTCCTTGACAACTTTGCCAAATCTGAAATTCCTCTTGAGACAATATGGAGTAGGTTAATGTACCATTTCTTCGCTGAAATGATTCGTCATGGGAGTATCTTATCATTGACACTTCTTAGACGATATCGACTACATGAATGCGGCCCGAAACTTTGAGAACGATCTTGATCGGTATAGCTATGAAGAAGGAGCCGAATTCTTATCACGTCTGCATGAAAATGGTCAACATTACATGCTTATTATCGACTCTGCTATTTACGCTCCCGACCTCACGAATGCAAGCGATTCATATCCCCCTTTCAATCGGGGTATCGAGGAAGATGCTTTCCTGCTAAATCCCGATGGGTCGATATACGTCGGAAAAGTTTGGCCAGGCTACACAGGTATGTCTTTCTTCTTACCTTAACTCGCAACAATAATAATGATATATCCAGTTTACCCTGACTGGGTTGGTCCTCTATTCAACGGTACTGGCGCCAACCGATGGTGGATATCCGAGGTTACCGAGTACCACAGCAAGATCAATTTCGACGCTATCTGGATCGATATGTCAGAAGTAGCATCGTTCTGCGTGGGGAGCTGCGGTAGCGATAACCGTAACTACAACTTTTCAAGCCAGTCCAGGAGTGAAATCAGGCAACTTCCAGAGAGTGTCGATTCGAGTAAGGCTGCCAGTGCGGTTGTTGCTGTGCGGGAAGATCCTACTCCGACTTCGTATTACCGTAGCACACCCACTCCAGGTGTTCGGAACGTCAACTGGCCCCCATACGCTGTCAACCACTTCCGCGGCGACCTGGCCGTCCATGCTCTCAGCCCCAACGCTACACATCATGGTGGGATCATAGAGTATGACGTCCATAACTTGTATGGACATCAGATCTTAAACGCTACCTACCACGCCCTTTTGAATGTCTTCCCTGAGAAGCGACCGTTCATTATTGGACGATCTCAGTTTGCCGGTTCCGGAAAATGGGCTGGCCACTGGGGGTTAGATCAATCTATTCAATATAATGTCATATATTCTGAATGCATTTGCTAACTGTTGGAAATAGTGGCGACAACTATTCTCTCTGGGCGTTCCTCTTCTTCTCCATCCCGCAGGGTCTTTCTTACTCGCTCTTCGGCATGCCTATGTTTGGCGTTGACACCTGCGGGTTTGCCGAGGATGCTGAAGAGGAGTTGTGCTCTCGCTGGATGCAATTATCCGCCTTCTTCCCTTTTTACCGCAATCACAACACGCGTGGGGCTGCTAGCCAAGAGCCTTACATCTGGCCTTCTGTGGCCGAAGCTTCAAAGGTAGCGATGAAGATTCGATACGCGTTGCTGCCGTACTTATACACGACTTTCTATCTTAGCCATTCTACCGGCTCCACGACTCTACGTGCCCTAGCTTGGGAATTCCCGGATGAGCCGTGGCTGGCCGCCGCCGATAGGCAGTTCCTCCTCGGCGACTCGGTGCTAGTTACTCCTTGCTTGGTTCAGGGCGCTACGACTGTCGATGGAGTTTTCCCTGGCGTGGGATCGGGTACCGTCTGGTACGATTGGTATAACAAAACGGCAATTACCGGAGTTGCGCCCGGACAGAACGTCACCATCGATGCGCCGCTGGGCCATATCCCGGTCTACGTGCGAGGTGGGAAGGTCATACCGCTGAAAGAGCCTGGTCTAACTACCGCAGCCGTCCGCGCGAGTCCCTGGAGTCTCCTTGTTGCGCTTGACGCCGACGGACATGCCAGTGGAGGGTTGTACATCGATGATGGAGAGAGTCTTGCGCCAAATGCTACTACATGGGTTGATGTAAGATTTTTAGTTCTTTTAATATTCACATACACATTGATAAAGTCGCTAACATTTCGCAGTTCACCGTTGAGGGCTCGTCGCTGAAAGCCACGCCTCGCGGAAATTTCGAAGACAAGAATGCACTAGGCAATGTAACGATCTTAGGGACTCAAGGTCCCGTGTCTAAGTTGGAGTTCAACGGAAAAGAAATCTCTGCCGATGTGTGGACTTTGCAGGAATCTAGTAATGTTTTGACGGTCACTGGTCTGGATTCGTTAACTACAGACGGTGCTTGGTCCGGTGAATGGACCTTGAGTTGGTCTTGAATATGATGATGGTAGTCTGTTATTTAGTTATCGTCGTAAAATAACATCATGTTATTATGATTAATATGCCATATAGTCGTCATGTTCAATACATCTACATCATCTCATGCCACAGAATCTACCTAGGTATGCATATAGATTAACAACGCGCTTATGTCCTTGACTGTCCAGGGACCTACTACCAAACCATCCATGCTACCACAAAGCAGCATACAACCCAATAACCCCCGCCGCGAGATTCACCACCGGCCTGTACAAATTCCTCATCGCCCACGAATCCACGAGCTGATGCGCGGTCCTCGGCTCCTCCTCATCCAACGTCGTCGCCATCACGGCCCGTTCCTCCAACCTGCTCTGCAGCGGCTCCATCGCGAGCCTCGTCCACGGCCACGCGCTGAGCGTCAGCGCGGCGGCGACCGCGTACAGCACGCGCGCCTTCCTCTTCTCCCCGGGGACCGCGCAAGCCAGGTAAGCGTGCAACAGGCCCGGGAGCAGAATGGCGATGGGCGCGGACAGGATCCGCTGGGAAGAGGCGAGCGCGCGCCGGAACTGCTCGACCATCAGGCGCGTGGGCGACTCCATGAGCCGCGGGACCAGGAATAGCGAGAGGCTGGAGCTCGCGCCCGCGGTGGTCGTTAGGAGCAGGATGGCGAGGGCTTGCAGGGTGCGGATGGAGGTGGGGGAAGGGTTGGTGGTGAGTTGATGGGACATAGTTTTTTTTTGTATTGATATATTGTGAGTATGTAAGGTGAAGTATCTAAGGTTTAGTTATCCGAAGATATAATGTAGGTAGTTGACTAGATGGAATATATGGAAAATACTGTCTGATAGTGAAGATTCTACGGACTCGGGATTTTGGATTTTGGACGGTTCATAACAAGATTCGGGTCATGTGTTGAAGAGGACAGGGGTATCAGAAAAAGATTGTCCACGAGATGGATTGCAAACGTGACGTCACGGATCTTGTGTGAAAAGTTAAATCTACGCTCTCATCTCATGACTTTCTGTCTCACTTCGTCTTTCTTGGTCATTGCCGAGAATGAAGCGGTGATGTGACGATTCACCTCGGTTTTGAGGGCCCAAATTAAGATGCTGAATTATACATATTATTTACGTTGAAAGCGACGAGTAGTATGCCTCGATCATGAAATGTTATGATCTCTTCTTTTTACTTATAAACGGATGAGCTAATACTCAACGAGTCCCCATGCCCCTTTTGAGCCCCTTAATGCTTCTAACAAGGTAAACATGGGACGACATCGCAAGGCCTCATTAGCCCCTATCAATATACTCATCTTACTGAGGGACATGTAACATAAAAGAGCCTACATTCACAACTTCCTCGCCAGCACCCTCAACCTCACATACCCCAAATGGAACCCCCCACTCGGATTCTTACACACAACCTCCAACACGTCCACCACCTCCCTTATACACTCCTCCCTCTCCCGCCCCTCCTCCAACGCCTCGAAGAACCGCGCCCCAAACAACCTCACCCACCCCTCGACGGCCCCCGCATCCGCCCGCGTAGGCCTGTACTCCCGCTCCGCCCTCACCACCTCCCACCCGCCGACCTCTGTCTCCAGCATCTCGCGCGCCCAGCCCTCGTCCGGGAAGAACCATGGGTCGTGCTCGACGGCCCGGGGGAGCCCTACGCGCCGCGCCACTGCGCCCACCAGCGCCGCCCGCATCTCCCCCACGTTGCCCAGCCCGCCCATCTCGAACGCCAAGAGCCCCCCGGGCGCGAGGGCGTCCCGCGCCGCCCGGAAGACCCCCGCTTGCTGCGCGCGAGACGCCTTGCATGACCCGAGGACCCAGTGCAGCGCCGCGTTGGAGAATATCTTGGTGAAGTGCCCGCGCTGCAGGTGCGCTGCCTGGGCGAGCTCGAGGGCGTCGACGACTGTTTATATTAAAAAAGTTGCAATGTCAGTTAGCCCGCTAAGCACCTAGGGGGGGGGAGGTTGCTTTAAGTTAAAGGTTAGGTAGATATGTAGGTTAGATAGATAGATAGATAGGTAGGTAGGTAGGTAGGTAGGTAGGTAGGTAGGAGGTAGGAGGTAGGAGGTAGGTATACCTTCAAACGTGCATCTCGACGCCCCGGCTTTACTAGCCGCCTGCGTGGCCGCCTCGATCATAGCCGGCGATGCGTCCGTGCCGTGGATGCTGCCACTACCCTGGGCCAGGATGTCTTGCAGCTGGATGTTGATCACGCCGTCTGTATTGAATAACGTTCGAGGTAAGCATTAGGTACCTACAACTATATGCTAATGGAAGGGAAGCCCCTACCACCGCAGCCGATATCCAAGATCACGTCGTCTTTCTGCGGATCGAGCCATTGTAGGATCTTGGTGGCGAGCTTCGGCACGAAGGAGGCCGAGTGCTGGTATGCCTTGAGTTACGCATTTTCGTTAGAATATATCAGATATAGTTATAGAAACGTGTTGTAGGTAAGTCAAAGGGGTATCTCTTTTGAAAGCGCAGCATACCTCAGACGACCAGTGGTCTTTCGTCTCGGCCATTGTGTAAGTGAGGTTTCCAGGTTTGGAAATTGGAATTGATAAAGCGTCTTTTTCTTTTTTGGATCTCTTATTAAGAGATATAGTAAATATAATGGTAGGTACACATTTATTTGGTATCAAGGGAGACTTATATACGGGACCTGGACTCGTACCAAATGGCTGTAAGGTCGCCCGAGATCGGAGTCTTTAGACAATGGTTCACCCCCAGCTCCAAACGTATCCAGGGATGATGCGCATATAAATTCCGCGAAGACTCTGGGCAAATAAATCGTAATTCGTTAAATTCCACTGTGTACTTTTGCTCAGGTAATTTACTAATAATCTTGCTGTGAAACCGCTGCAGGCATGGCATCTTGTAACATCATCGCCAGACCTAAAACAACATCTCCATCGCGAACCATTAATCTACCTCGAGCAGCTGATATTTTTCGTCGCCGAGGGCATCCTCGACTCTCTTCATAATCGCAAGCACTTTCTCCTCTTCTAACCTGCGTCCGACAACCTGGACACCAACCGGTAATCCGTGCATCGCCTCGGCGTCGTAAAGCTTGTATGCGCCTTGAGCAACTCCATTCAGTTTCTTGATGTTAAAGGTAGATGGCAGCTTGTCGAGCTCCTTGTCCACATGCGTTACTGGGATGATACCACAAGTATAGTCAACCTTAGGTAGTTATTTCGTTTAGTATGATCAGAAGCAAACGTAGATCTAAGAGTACACTGCACTTACAATATTGAACAAAAACGTGTATCCGCAGCTGCTGACAGCTTCCTTCATACCATCGTGAGGTACAGCCGGCGTCGCATTGGGAGGCGTTATCAGGAAGTCTATATCGGCATTGTTCCACCATTCGAAGAATTTACCTCTGTAGGCCTCACGCTTCGAAACCAATTGCCACTGTTCAAACGCGGTCTTCTCATGCCAGTCCTTGACAAGGCCAGCCCATACGTCGTCTTTTCGGACGTACTTAACCCATAGGTAGTAGATATACTTGAACGGGCGCGAAAGCCGCATGAGCCAATCCATCTGGTGAGCACCGGGGTCGTTCCATTCCCCAAATCGGAAAAAGCTTTTGAAGGTTTTGCACCCGTCAGCGTTTAGTAAGAAAGCACCAATCTGGAGGGCTTCGTATGGTGACGGTACGTCTACCTCGACAATTTCGTGCCCGGCCAATTTCAAGGCAATCTCTACCTTTTCTAGTGCTCGCGCGCATGCCGGACTCGGGTCAACCACACCATCTGTCCTCATCACGCCTACACGGAACTTGTTTTTCGTCGCATACTCTTCTTCCACTTCAGATCTCCAGGGCATAGGGTGAACGGAGTGGTCGTACTTCCACGGCTGCATACCGATCATCGCATGAGTGAAATACGTCAGATCATTCAAGGTCCTAGTCATAGGGCTGTACACACTTGGCACGCCCTCCTGGCCAGGCATGCTTGTCGAAAATCCCGCTTTCGGCCATCGCCCAGTTGAGCATCGCAGACTGTAAATACCGGAGAAATGGGCCGGGGCTCGAACGCTGCCTGCAACGTCGCTTCCGATCCCAATTCGTCCACCCAGTGCTAGCAAAGCTGCTTCGCCACCAGTTGACCCCCCGGGAGAGTATTTGCTGTTATGCGGATTGGTACACCGTCCCCAGACGTCGTTAGTGGACTCAAAGCTGAGCAGCGTGATAGGTAAGTTGGTTTTGACGTAGGGAACAGCACCGGCATCCTTAAGTAGTCGAACAGTTGCGCCGTCCTGAGACGGTTTGTTGCCGACGAAACTGCTGAAAGCAACAGTCGAATCATACCCGCCGACGTTAATGCTGTCTTTCAAACTGATCGGAATACCGGCCAGGGGACCTTTCATGTTGATGGAACCATCCTCAATCCACCGTTCGGCATCGGAGATCATAATCTCGGTGAGGCAGTTTGTCTTCTCATGTGCCTTGAGCGCAACCTTGCCATATGTGTTGAGCAGGTCAAGGGGTTTAAGCTCACCCTTATGTACATCTTCAACTAATTGTTCAATGGGTTTGTTGATGATATTCCGGTCTAGGGGAGTAAAGGGGCCGCGATAGTTGGTTAACGCCCGAATTCTCTCTGCACGCTCATTTTGCTTAAACTTGCTACTTCACCGTGAGAAAAGGACATGTCTTATTTTACCTTCCGAAATCGGTTATAGTATGATGAACTATTGGTAGGAATGGTCAGGATGAGATGAAATGAAATGAAATGCTTACCAGTCCTTTTTATGTTGGATGTAGTCAAGAAAGAAGACCATCTTGTTAGTTGAACTTAAATATAGTCGCTTGAATTCTAATAACAACAACTACTACTACAAAAGTGTGACGTCAAAAAAAACGACGAGATATTACTCAGGTAGCATGAAAACAGAATAAAGGGAAATCTGAGTTATTATTAAATGAATTTGCCTAAGGTTGCCTTGTGTTAGGTACCTACCTCTAACCTTATGATCGGTACATGGTACAACGGACTGGAATGCCGGCGACGGGGGGTGAAAAAGATAAGCTCAGCTCATTCGCGCCCTCTTACACGACCGGATAGAGCTCGGTATCGGCATCCCCCGCATTTCATCGCATTTCTGATGGAGCTCACCTTCTTCACCGGCCGCTGATAACCGGTTACAACTTCCTCACATGGAATAGGCCGTAGTCTTGCCTCAGTCCTTGTCTGATAATTTATCTCGCAGTCCAGCTGCTTCGTAGGACACTGCATATCCTAGGTAAACTCAAGAATTATACAAGCATAAATGATTGTATTATTATAACTATTCCCCCACTTCTCCAAGACTTGGAGTCCTCAGTCCAAGTCTCTCCCCCACTCATGCACCCCGCAGAGAGCTTACTGATATAGGTACAATACAATAGCTACTATTTTCAAACACGCCTATAACATCTACCCGAGTCTTTCATAGGTATTCATATAATATTCAAAGACATATCATACCCCTAGAAATAACTCCTCGAATTCAAGGCTGACAATAATTTGCGGAGTCGGTTTGAATATTAGCAGATAGTCTTTGATCCTTGGATCCTGGGCTTGATAATCAAGTATACCTGGACATGACATCCAGCGAACCCGCATACGACCCTAAAAAGACAGGCCCATGGCTCATCTGCACAGCTTGTGGGACACAATTTCCCACCGCAGACAGGCAAAAGGTGAAAACATGCTTCATCTGTGACGACCCTCGTCAATTCACGCCACCAACTGGTCAAGCCTTTACGAGTCTCGATGAGCTCCGTTCCAATACCAAAAATGTATGGACGCCCTTCGAAGGCGACGACAGGTTCATATCCATACACACAGAGCCCAAGGTGGCTATCGGTCAGCGCGCCATCCTTATAAAAACTCCAAATGGTAACGCCCTCTGGGATTGTCTCACTCTCATCGATGACGACACCATCAACAGGATCAAAAGCTTAGGCGGGCTAAAAGCCATCGTCATTTCCCACCCGCACTATTATTCAACACACGTGGAATGGGCCCGCGCTTTTGGCTGTCCTGTCTACCTAGCCGCGGAAGACAAGCAGTGGGTAACGCAGACCTCAGCGCATCAGGTCTTTGTAAAGGAAACAGAGCTTGACTTAAAGATCAAGGGCATATCTTCTGGAGTCAAGGTCCTCAAGCTTGGAGGCCATTTCCCAGGCTCATTCGTAGCTTTATATGAAAAGCATCTACTCATCGCCGACACGCTAGTCACTACACCATCCGGCCTCGGCAGCTGGAATACGGATGCCTCAGGGGCTTTCCGGACCCGACCCGCGGGTCTGAATAGCTATTCGTTCATGTGGAGCATCCCGAACATGATACCCTTGGCTCCGGACGAGCTGCAGCGGATGTGGAGTATCCTTAAGAAATACGATTTCAGCTCTACCCACGGCGCGTTCCTCGAGATGGATATCGTGAAGACCATCCCGGAGATGAAACGCAGAGTGCTGGAGAGCATGCAAATTCAGATCAAGTATATGGGCTATGGCGACCATGCGCTTTTGAAGGAAACCATAGCATAAATCATAAAGAGAAGAGAAGGACGCAGCTTGGACTAAATCGGACCGAGATATCCAAGATCGAGATGCGTGAATGAATGCCCCTCTGAAAAATCAAATACCTTGCCTATTTAATACTCCACCATTTGCCCATCAAGGTACACGGATCGCATGTACATTATATCCGATATGCAAGAGCCAACAAATCTAAAATCAATACATATTACCTTCCAAGTCTACAGCTTGCTCGCACCCTCCTGCGGGATCTTCACGACGACCTTACCCCACGTCTCCCTCCCTCCCAACGCAACCAAGGCATCAGGCACGCTCTCGAGCCCGACAAACTCCTTATCCACGAACACAGTACCCTTGAACTTGCCCTGCTCGACCAGCTTGTTGATGCCGTCCCACACGGCGGGGATCCCGTCCCGCTGGAACTTGGCCCACGCGCCCCAGTGGATCCCGACCAGGCTGATGTTCTTCAGCAGCACCTTGTTCATCGCCACCTTCTCGATGGACCCCGCCGCGAACCCGACGACCAGGATCCGCCCGTTCCACGCCACGCACTTGGTGCTTTTGTCCACCAAGCCCACGGGGTCGTACACGATATCCACCCCGCGGCCCCCGGGCGTCAGCTTCCTCACCTGCTCCGGCCACGTCGGGTCCCGGTAGTCCACGACGTGGTCGGCGCCGAACCGCCGCGCGACCTCCAGCTTCCGCGGAGTCCCGGCCGTCGCGACGACCGTCGCCCCGAACGCCTTGGCGACCTGGACGGCGGCGAGGCCGACGCCCCCCGCGGCCGCGTGCACCAGGACCCAGTCCCCCGCTCGGACGCCCGCGCGCGAGACCAGGGCGCCGTAGCTTGTGGGCGCGGTGATGAAGAGCCCCGCGGCGTCGGCGAACGACCACCCGGCAGGCACGGGCAGCAGCTCGGCCTCGGCGGCGCACGCGCGCGTCGCGTAGGCGCCCTGGCCGGCGCCGAAGACGCGGCTGCCGACAGGGAATTTGGGGGGTGCTCCCTTGGAGGTGGTGCTGGGGGTGGCGAGGACGACGCCGGAGAACTCGACGCCGGCGACCCAGGGGAATGCTTTGACGACATGTTAGTAAAGAGCTAAGTAAATTGAAACAAACGAGTAGGTGGGCAGGCAAGCGAGGAGGAATGGAGGGCGAGAGATAGAACTTACGCGGTTGGCTCTGGTACTTCCCCTGAATTTGCAGGATGTCGAAGAAGTTGGTGGCCGCGGCGTGCACCTCGATGAGGTACTGGTCCGGCTTCGGCGTTGGATCGGGGAGCTCGGTTACCTTGAGCTCTTCCGGGCCCTGTGAGTTTTGTATTTAGTGGTTTACTTTCAAAAGGCGGGACTCTCGCTTATTTTGGCATCTCTTCTCACCTTGACATATTGGCTGATTTGGATTCCCCGCATTGTGTTTCTAATTCGTTGTAAAAGAGATCCCAGCTCTAAAGACTTCACCAGGCCAGATAGACTAGACTTATGGCTACGGCTCAATATTACATACACCAACTTTTTACAATTAGTTACGAGAAAAATAACAGACGTTTAAACAGAATCGAAAAGGACGAAACGCTTGCGTGAATATCTAAATGCCAAGTAGATAATAAGTGATCCGCTGTATGTATGAAGGGATGAATGAATAATGGGGATTAGGTGGCAGCTCGCCCCGGGCCTCATGGGGAAGTCGGTAATTATTAAAGATGCCGAGGTTCGCGTTGATCCTTTGGCTTGCTGATTACCTAAGGTACCTACCTAATGTAATAAGACATAGATCCAGCCAGTCTGTTGTGACGGCATAAGATATGCAACGTTATACTCCAGGAAGCCGTCAAAGCATTCCTCGACAATGAATAAATTAGGTCCATGGAAAGAAGTAAGTCGGCCAGTTATCTCATAATCTTCATATTAGTGAGCAATGTATATAAAATACATGTATATATTATCCAAGTCCACTTATCTCATAACAGACGAAGAAGTTCAAAGAATAATCCTGTTATATAACTTAGGTACTTGAGACCATCATGAAGTTTCACTATAAAGTTGTTAGTTACCTGTTACTAATTCTATAAGCTAAGGTTGTTCCTCATTTTTAAATTCAAGCTCCTCCGCCCGGCTTCCACTTAAAATACCTGTTATAGTAAAAAATCTAATAACAACTTTTAGCGTTCCTGGCTCACTAGAATAACGAAACTTTTTCAAGTCATATTAATTGGTAAACCCTTGCTTCCCAAATATACCATACCCTGAGGCAAGGTACACAGGTAGTTAGCACAATAAATGTTGGGGTTCGAATGAATAATTGTATAACTCACGTCGGATCTGGGCAGTTATGTAAGCTGTGCAGGTTGCGTTACACAATGGGTGCCTATTTCTTTGAGCGCCAGCAGAAGGCTATGGATGCTAAAAGAACGTTGAAAAGCCTTAGCGACGCATAAGTCATAAGCCCCCAATGGAGGGGCTGTAGGCAAGGCTGATGGCGCACTTGCTCTATACTATCAATTGGTACAAGGTATTTAGCATAAATATATGCAGAAATTAGTGACGTCTAGGATCTTATCTAGTATCTAAGATAATCAAACCACGCTGTCTGCCTCGAAAATTAAATGAGCAGTCTTGGCATTTTGTTCTCAGAACAACATTATATTATAATTCAAAGAATAATTCAAAGAAAATCGAGAAAAATAAAAATAAATCATATTCAAGTAAAGCATTATTTTACAAATTATATCATATATATATCTAGTTATTTCAAGTTTGATATCTTTGGTATAAACATTAATGTTGAAAAGCCAAGACCTGCACATTTAATTTTCGAGCCTGACGGCCACGCCGACTTGCCCCACGTCAACTTGGATAAAAAGAGAGGTAACCACCTGGGCAGGAGGTAGCGTACTTTTAGTAGGTATTGTACCTAGGTACTTTTTTAGAATAGTACTTAGAAGTTAGGACGGGCTCTTTTGCAACAATCGTCAACCATCACCAACCAACATCTTATCACCAATCACACAACGTCGCCCGATCCTGACCATTGCCGTCTATTACCTGGGTACCTAGGTAGCATTCCAACTACGATAGAATAACTATAATTGTTATTTCCGATCATCCCGTACAGATATCCTTTCAACACTTCAATTGACGATTGATCCCGAAAATGGCCGAACCAACTGAGGGTAGCTCTGACCCTCAAATCACCTTTAAGGTGAAGACGTCGGGCGACAAGCAGCATACCATCACAATGTCCGAGACCGCTACGGTGTCCGATTTGAAAAACAAGCTCGCCGGTGCCGAATTTGAGGATATCCCTATCGACCGACAGCGTCTGATCTACTCTGGTCGCGTTATGAAGAACGAGGAGCCCTTGAGCACATATAAGATCAAAAACGGCAATACCGTTCATCTAGTCAAGAGTGCTGCGAGCAACCCGACCCCCGCCCCAGCCTCGTCATCGACAACCTCTTCTACACCTACGGCGCCCCAAATTCCTACCAATATGGCCGCGGGTACGGCAAACAACCCTTTGGCAGGTCTAACAGGCGCAAGATACGCCGGCCTCACTAATCTACCATCCGCAGATATGTTTGGCCCCGACGGTGGGGTAAGTTCTTCTTTTATTATTACCTGACTTGGAGACTAATTCAACCCTTTCTCAGATGGTTGGTTCCATGATGGACGAGGAACAGCTAGCCAATATGCTCAGTAATCCGAACGTCGCCCAGCAGATGAATGAAATGATGAATAATGACGCTTTCATCGATATGATGATCCAGTCGAACCCGATGTTACGAAATAACCCTAACGCCCGCGAAATTGTGCGATCGCCGCTCTTCCGCCATATGATGACCAGCCCTGAAGCCTTACGAGGAGCTGCACGGTTACAACGAGCGATGGGAGGCCGCCAAGCTGCCCAGAATGCCTTCCCTATGCCTGGCGTCACTGACACCACCCCCGGAAATACACCTTCTAGCAGTGAGTCGGATAATAACAACACTAATGCTACTAGTAACCAGAACCCCGGGGGCCAGTACAATCCGTTCGACCCAGCTACCTGGAGCAACATACAGGCTCCAGGGGCTGGTGGTGCCGCTGCTAATCCTTTCGGTGCTTTCTTCAATCCCTTTGCAGCGGCTCAACCGAGTCAAGGGGCGACCAGCCCAGGAGCAACTCCAGCAACGGGTGGCTCCCAAACCGAAGGCGCTAATACTACCACCAACCGGTCCCAAGGGGCCGGCACCGAAAGCACATCAAGTCCTCCTCCCAATCCATTTGCTAGTCTCTTTGGTGGAGGCGCAGGTTTTCCAGGCGCTGGTGCTGGTGCCGGGGCGGGCGCAGGTGCGGGCGCAAACCCTTTCGGAAACCTCCCTCCTATGACGCCCGAGCTTTTGCAGCAAATGGTCCAAGTTCTAGGTATGGGGTCACCGTCAGGGTCACCTGCCCCGCCAGATAACAGACCCCCCGAAGAACGATACGCGGAACAGTTGAGACAACTAAACGATATGGGCTTCTACGATTTCGACAGAAACGTAGCCGCCCTGCGACGGAGTGGTGGAAGCGTACAAGGTGCCATCGAGCATCTGTTGAACTCGTAACAGATGACAAACTATTAGCGTTTCGCTACTCTATTGTGCCTTTTATCAAGACGCTATCATGCGGTGGGTGTAGGCGATGGAATGCTCTTGTGGGAGAGGGGTGGCAGTTGGATTGAAATCCATGACTTGATGAAATATCCTTCCTGAGCAGGGTCCGGTCAGACGTCTTGCTCGGGCATGAGTGTCTGCAACTGGAAGGGGGTGATGTTTACCTTTGTAACACGTCTTATAATAGTGAGAAAAGAAGTGACACTATTGAACCAGAGGCTTTTGTTATGTCAATTCGGTGCTATATATGTCTATATGTGTCACGTCTATAGAATCTAGATTGGGGGTGTGATAAAATGCATGTTATCGCCGGGGGGGCTAGTTATAATGGTGAATAATGTAGATGAAGATACGAACAATAACGACAGCGTTACGAAGTTCTTGGCTTACGTTAATTATAAGATTTTGGTTCTTTCGTTTTTAATATAATACATAGTACTTGTACAATAACTTGATGCAGGCCTAGTTTTAGAAAATACACTAGGAGTCCATAGTAGACGAGAATATATATCGTCTGGTGAAATAACTGGGCAACCTACGACTATACAATACGCACCAAAGCACCTTAGTAAGAGATTTTAGAAGTTACATCCCTCCTTGTTTGAGACTTAATTATGATTTGAGTTCTATTGAGAAGCTGAGCTACATTTCTAATTTATCGTTTCTATACTTTCTCACGGTACGGTCCTATAGCGTAGGCCCTAGTGGGTCACCATCGTGTATATAAGATAGCCAGACGAGGGACCTCTCACAGGTAGTTATCTCTTTCTGCCTTTGTGCAACAACGATTATCTCTACTCAAGCCTTGACACTTTCCTATGGGAGAAATAAGGGGAATTGTACACTTATGTTCGTCTAATAATAGATGGGATTCTACTTTGATAGCATACGGTTAATGTCACGACGTGGGACCGAAAGATCCCTTTTAAGGGAAACAACAGAGCCGACTACAATGATGAGCACTTGTGACTCGATACAGGTGCTAGAACGGTTGTGAACTTCCTCGGAGTAATGACACAACAACCAGAATATTCTTTCTAGCTTTTAAGTTAACTAATCAAATACAAGGTGGAGATTTAGTCACATAATAGTAGAAGAAGTGAGCTTGGGGCTCGGAATTAATGATTACGAAGTAGCAAGTAGGAACCGAGGAATCTAGGTTGCATTTCTCAAGATGTATGGTAACCTAGGTACGTATACTTAGTCAATAACTGAACTGAATAATCTTCGGCTTGTATTATAAGATAACATCAAAGCTTGGTCTTGGTCAACATACGAACACTTGTGCATCTTCTCTCAAGGAGACTTACTTTATTCTTGTATAAACTTAGCGGATATGCATCCATATATGCCTTTGATACCGCTTGTCTTCAAGCATTCATGCCCAACGCCTAGTACCTACCACAAGATCTGTACACGATAGTTCCTTGGCATATTGCGAATATGAATATGATTTTTGTCTCCTGGAAGCCTTTCTTTGACGTGTCCCTCAGCTAGGAAGTGTCGATCATACACTGACTTTGCTAAAACTTGCAGTTTAGGTTGGAGGTACCTAGCAGTGTAAAGTAAGAGGTAAGTAATGGAGTTGGAGTAGCGATGTCTTCTAATCTTGGATATGACCCCAAAGCCGACCGCAAGGTGTCAACTGCTGAAATACTGGGTTTCAAGCTCTGTATTACGCAACCAGGTGTTATAAAAAGATCGGTATTTTATACGTGTGAGAACTGGGTTGGCGTACAGGAGGCGCTACGTGTTGTGGCAAAATCGCTAACTTGCTATCGGGATTTGTGATATCCAGGCTTTTGTTATTGTTAGGCTGCATTTACCAGCAGGGTTATGTATGCATGCTGAGCGAGCTCTCACATAGCAGCTTTGTACGTATGCTTTTGTGAATGCTCAACCATGTCGCCTCACTTCCGGACATAGGGTTACCTGTAGATATATGCCGAAAACTCGGGACAACTTCAACGACACACAGTACAAGCACGTGCTTTATGATCTTATGTAGGACAAGGCGAAGTCAGAACTTATGTTCGTATAATTACCTCGGTAATTACTATAAAGTTAGTTGATAGGATAACTCCCATAGGTAGAAAATAATCATAAACTCAGCATAACCCAAATCTGATAGCACGACGTCCCCTTGTTTATATTTTACATAATTGTTGACGTCGTCGTCTAAATTTCCGCCCTCATACCATTCGGCGATAGCAGTTTATCACCTGCGGATTCCCCTCCCCTCCCGCTTCCACCTCGTTGCCGAGTCCCACCTAATGCACCCTTGATCCTTCGGCCCCTCGAAGCCTTGCTGGTGACCGGCGGCTAATTAGTGCCACATCCGCTTAGTTAGCACGTTAGCTGGTCTGACGATCGCTATTACTCGATGTCACTTTGACTCGCCTCACTATAGCCTCACTAGACGCGCTGTTGATCAGGGTCCCAGGGCAGGGCCCCAGAGATTGTCGCGCGGTAGTATGCGAATCAGCGTCCATCTCAACCGCAACCACATATTGTTTGTTTGTGTACGACAAGTGATTTTGTATGTGTGTATGCTGCACTGCACTGCGCTGCACTGTACGATACCAATCTAAGCAGCTTAAATCTGCTGGATACCACCCAACTTGAACCGGTCTGGAATGCATGCTGCACATGCGCATCGTAAGCGAATATCTCATGTCAGTTAGCAACATTCTGCGCAAGTCTATTTCTTCCAGGAATCCTTTATGCCATTCCCTTCCACTCGGGTTCTTCCCGATTTCCCCCGAGGGAGGTAAATTTGAATTAAACGCTATCGGATTTGCTCATGCAGCGTGATGCGAGGACCAGACTGGTATCTACCAGGGAGCATATAGCATGAGAGGTGCATCTAAAAAAGATACCAGACGTAGTAATGCTTTCGTACAACCAACCTGTCTATATCCGGAAGCTCGGGAATCGATCGTTGTATTTTTTGGTGAAGGAAGTCGGCGAATGCGAATTGTCTGTAAATGTACGGCGCCGACTATTGATATACCTACTACTTACACGGTATATAATTATACCTAGGTAATTATACCTTAGGTACCTTATACATATAGTTATGTATAAGACATATTTAGGAATACCTCGGTAGGTAGTTACACAGGCAGTAACTATTCAAAGTTCAACCAGGGTTTAGGTACTAGGTACGATTTACATAGTATCTTATTACGCTTAGCCAATAGTAGTCTAGGAGGTAGGTAGCATTTCTATGTGGAGGCTCAACAAAATACGGCTAGGCCCAAATCGTGTTTATTCCATTGCTTGCGTTAGCGCTTTTTCTTTTCCATTAGAGGTACCTAAATTGATGATCTTCGCCCGCAGTACCTCCGGGTTAATGGATTAATGGATCCTTTTTTTTCTTCCCAACTCCATTCTCAGGTACCTAACCTAGCTTCTTCTACCCCTATGCCGATTAAAAAAATTTAACAGGAAACTTCCCTATCATAAAATATAAAATATGCATTTATTGCCCAATATTGAGAAGAGCACCCTAGATTCGTTCCGGTGGTGCTCGAAGGGTTACCTCTCCGGCCCGCCAGGTAGCATGCATAAAGGAATAGGGGTTACGGATCCGTACATCTCACGCTTTTGACGCCACGCAGAAGTCATGTCTGGCCATACCCAAAATATAGTCCGGGGTGGAACAATATCAACAGTTCTTGGGGGTTTAGCTGGTGAACGGTACGTTATAGACCTTAATTAATTAGTTGAATGGTCTAGCATAATCTACCTAGGTAGGTAGGCATTCAGTTTGCGTCGTGCTGCGACGTTACGGTACTGTGGTACTATGCAAGTGTCTTCAGATCTAAATAAGTTCAACTCAGTGGTATATCAGATACTAGGTTAAGGAGAAGATTAGGTACTGGCTTTCGGATACCTGTTCCCGTTCTAACTTCTAACTAGGTCAACCATCAAGCACGCCTTTCTCGGTAAGTGGATCGATCGATGTTTGTCTTAAGAAGAGAGACGCAGGCGCCCAACCACATCAAGTACCTAAACCGAAAGCCTCTTTGGGTTTTCGGTGGGATCCATGGAGCTACGGCCTGTAATCTGATTGTAATCTGATTCAATCAGCCAATAAGCTATATGACCTATCATATTTTGCGACATAGGGAACAGACAATTTTTGGTTAGCGTGGCGCTGAGATGTCCCAGTGTTCTGGATAAAGAGCTAAGGAACGCCCAGCGGACTCGGATCTCGTTCGCAGTGGAGCTGACGATGGTGTTACTGATGCTCTAGCCGCTTCTTACACCACGGTCCTTCATCAGACATCGATTTTTTTTCTACTACGGATATCGTGAGCTTCTTCGCGATACGATGCTAGGTGAGCAGGTTGTGTTTCTATTAGAAATGATTTCACCTTGGCTGCAGGTTTTATGGTCCCCCCACAGAACCACCAGGACTGTAAGGACTGAAAAGGCGGAGTTTATGTAATGATCTTCTCTTTGTGACAAGTAGAAATCCCATCTCTACGCGAAAAATATGATGCATATTTTGGAGCTCGCATGTTGGCATCTGCAGAAACCTGCAGGTTGTGAAGTCTGCAGTTCGCATTATCAGCTCGGTCGAGGAGAGAGGTCGGAATCACTCATCTCGGTCGTACCCAACTCGTTTCCCTGCACCCCAGATGCGTCATTGTGATCGGTTACAGCTAGCCTACTTGGTTAGCTTGCCTACATACCTTAGGCAGTAGAGGAGTTGAAGGCTACAGATGCGGCGCCAATCAGAGCCGTCGTATCCTCACGGACCAAGACAGGGGCCAATTTGTTCAAGGTTATTCCTAAACCCAGCCAGCGTCCATACTACCCTTATCCATACATCTCTGCTTGAACGAGCGGGGCGACCTTCGAGAAGCTTTCCACATAGCACACAGCGAATATGCAAATTCCAAGTCTAGGTTGGCATCAAGTCTAAAGTATTGGAAATCAACCTGAATAGGCAAGTCGGAGCTATTGTCTCACCGTCGCATACGAAAGGGGTTTCCTCCATTCGTTCCTTTACATTTGGTACGTATGCAAATTCTCGATACTTCCAGAGTCATCTTTATAGCGGGACTGCTATAACACAAGTCAACTGATCTGGCCTTCCTGCGTGCCTGCGAGGTTCGCATTTGGAAAAGGCGTGATAGCATCTAGGAATGACTACCATTGGTATGTTACATGCCATCAGGTATCTATCTATCTCTGTGTGTCCATGACCACAGTCGCTGAACATCCCAGACATCCCTAGTGAAATATTCAAGGAGGCTGAACCGAAACCTCCGCACAGCATATCCTGGTCTCTACCTTAATAGCAGCTAGTCTCTTAAAGGAACTAACTTCATCAGCTAATTTTTTTTTCTCTTTAGTCAGGTACCCCTAAACCAATTGATGGCGTTTAGGGTTGAGGGCTTCGGTAACATATCCGTATGTGAAAATTATAGAGCCGGGACGCCTCTTTTCCTGCATGAGGGAGTGTCACCTGAATCACTCCTGGCTAGCAGCCCATCTCTGGGTATGATGTTAGCAGTCTAAGGTAGGACAGGGTTGGTGAGATTTCTCCGGCATCCCGGTCCGCTCATATCCAACTGTTTCTATCTGACTTATGATAGAGATAGGGGACTTATGTCGAGACAACGCAGCGACAGGCTTGGTATACTAGGTACCGCTTCGTTAACTGCATCCTCACATGTCTTGGCATGCTGGTTGTTTATCAAGCTTCTTACAGCATCTCTCTTCTCCATACACTACCTGCATGGATATTACCTAGTGAGTTCTTGCCTCGGTACATCCATGATCCTCATTAGGGCTCGCCTAACGTTACATACTACGTTGTAGACAGCTCTTGTATTCATCCCACGCTCCACAAGTTATCAATGCCCCGACTAGAATGTCGGACTGATTGGGTAGGTAGCTTTCATCCCAAACGGACAACTGAAGGCCAACAAAATGTAATCAAAGAGCGGAATCCGGCTCACAGGACATTTGCCAGCCCATGGGTCAAATTGAAGTCGTGGCACCTATCCACCGCAGTGACCGATGCCTTTTTCATGCCCGGCGAGGTCATGATCGGCCGACTCCCTCCAAGGATAAGCATCCGCGTCTGTTGCTTGTTTGTGCTGTACGTACAGAACATGGAGACATATCATGCCTGAATTTGTGACAAGCTACATTGCCAACCGTAGTAGATAGTGTCGCTCAGGGTCCCGTTCCATCCATCTTCGAACAGCGATCTCTGACAACAACTTTCCCAAACCCCACCCCTCTTAGAGGAGCCCATTGGAATCACCAACCCGATGAAAGGCGGCCTATTTACTCACCTTCAAGGGAGGTTATCAAACCCGGAGGGCCTTATTACTGTGATATGCGCCGTTACTAGTTTAGCAGATGGTCTAATCCCTTCCCCATGGCCCATGGCCGGTCCACGACAACGCCGGTCCATATCTTTCCCCCCCTACCGACTTGCATGCCTAATCAAATTATGTACCAACCAAGTAACTCACGTAACTCCATCCAGTCTCTTTCACCATTTCCTGACTGATGGAATTTTGACCGCCAATCCCACTTCGTTCTTTTGTTCGGGCTAGGTCAGGCTGGGACCTGTTTACTACTACTGGCCTGTCCTCCTCTGCCTGAGTTGACCATATAGCGGCCCTATCTCTGTACTGATCCCCGTCGCAATTATGTCATGCATGGATAGCTCAGCGAACGATCTCCATAGGGGTATCCGAATACATATGTACCCAGATGGTTCCCCTTGAGGCGAAACAAAAGGTTCGATGATGCTACGCTTTTCTCCACCGTTTTCGCGCTTGGGAGCTGATCAGGTCTCTCCCAAGCCTCTTATGTATAAAAATTTCACACGCAAGGTTGGTCGTTTCGGGCTCTAATAGTGGCTCTGAGACAACAAATACAAAGCTGTGACGCCTCATAACTCGCCTAAGACTTATCCATTTATACTACAAAGGTAATTTCAACATGCGCCATCTTGAATTTTATTATCCTCTTAGTTATTGGCATTCCGACTACTGCCTCTCGACTTAAAAAAGCGACCTTTTTTCCTTTTTTCCTTTCCAACTAGTTACTTCGAAATTTTCCTCCGAAAACGTTCCGGACGGAAGAGTCACAAACAGTTTCGACAATTTTGTCTTCACAGCAATAATTATCCGCGAGAAAATAGCTACTTAACCTAGCTCAATATGAGTTCTCCACCGTCTCGGCGGCGGAAGTCTGTGAGCGCGTCGAATGTTATGCTCACAAATGCTGTCTATTTCCCAAACTACAAGATCTACAGCGGCGCCTCGCCGGGGATGATGAACTACAGTTGCATCAACCACGTGTACTACGCTTTCGCTAATGTGGCGGCGGACGGTTCCGTATTTGTAAGTTTTAACTCTGTTTACTTCGACCAGTACGCTTAAAAGGTTATATAAAACGGCAAGAATCCCGACATTAATATTCAGTTTAGCTGAGCGATGAGTGGGCAGATACCGAAGCACCTTGCGACGGCGTCCAAGGCGGGCTCGGATCCTTGATGCACCTGAAGCAGAAGCATCCGCATCTGCAGGTCACTATTTCGATCGGCGGCGGAAACTCAAGCGAGACCTTCCGAATCGTCGCCTCGGACGTTTTACTACGAGATAACTTTGCGCGATCAGCGAGAGGTTTAGTGGAGGCCTCCGGTATGGATGGTATTGATAGTATGACTTCTCCTTTCCCCTCCCCCCACATCTACCGACCCGAAGGTTACATCACGTTACATTACAATATAACTGATCTGCCGTAAATAGTAAACTGGGAGTATCCTATGAACCCCCAGCAGGGAGCAGACTTCCTTGCGCTCCTGGCTGCCATACGGGTCCATCTTCCGGAGGAACAGTTTTTTGTCACGGCGGCTCTCCCTGCTAGTCGCACGGTTCTGCATAACATCGACATTGCGAAAGCTGCGTACTATCTCGACTACATAAACCTGACGGCGTATGATTTCTGCGGCCCGTGGTCGCAGCGAAGCGGACACCAGGCGCAACTGTACTCTATGAGCAAGGACGAGACGTCGGCATCCTCCGGCGTTTCGTACCTCGTGGGCCACGGCTGTCCCACTAGAAAGATTCTGCTGGGTATTCCCCTTTACGGACGGAGCTTTCTTGGGGTTAGCGGCCCAGGACATCGAAACAAGGGAGCAGGAGGTGAAGACGGGATATTCGAATACAATACGCTGCCGAGAAGACACGCTAAAGAGGCCGTGGACAAGCGGATAGGGGCCGCGAGTTGCGTCGGAGGGGATGGAGGATTTGTCACCTACGATAACCCGGATACCGTGAAGATGAAAGCGGCATACTGTAAACAGAAAGGACTCGGGGTAAGTTTCTATGATTCCCCTTGTAACCCCTTTAATTACTATCATCGGTACTTTCACGGTGCTTTATCGATGCTCCTCAGAACACATCTAACCTGGGATAATAATGATAGGGTCTGTTCTACTGGTCTGGGCCTGGCGACTCCCGAGAAAAATCCCGAAGCTTGATTGCGGCCGGATTCCGAGCGTTGCACAGTTCATAAACGAATCAACCAGCATTTCTTTTGGTTCTTTTCAGCACACATTGGTGAACGGAGTTGAGGCGGTCATTACGAGTGTTTTGCATTTTCATGGCGTTAAAACCCTATATGTAGGGCAGATGCATTAAGATTTGGATTTTCTGGAGATAGCATGTGGCGCTTCCATTGCATCATCCATCCCATTACTCGAGAACAGGGGCGGTTTATAAGGAGACATGGTTAATGGTCTTTTGCATTTCCGATCTAGCAATAGCTTCATTATACCTCGGGTACCTGGATAAGAGGTACCTACCTAACCTGCCTAACCTACCTAGGTACCTACACATCATTTACAGACTCCTACAAAGACAGGCACAGGATTTATACCCAATATAACAGAAACACCAGAAGAGTTTCCTTGGAGGTACAAGATCAATGTAAATAGACGGAAGCATAAAGAAGGATGGGCATTATGCGTTAAGGGGGATTGGCACGGGATTCTGTTGGGAGCTACCTGAGACTCGGTAGAATTAGGAGAAAAAAGTTTTTTTTTTGGAATATTGTGATAAAAACCCAACAAACATACGATTGCTCGCAATAATCCCCAGAAGAATTGGGCATGAATGCTGTTCACCTTGTAACCTTCGGTGAAGACACCGCATCATTGGGCACCTTTCCGTAAGGCATGAGTAAAGTTATGAGATGCTGGCTTCTCATTGGATCGGATCATCCCGTTAGTGTAGAGTGGGGAAGGTGAGTTAAGCAGCTAAGGTAAGCCGAAATAAGCTAAGGTGAACGAACTAAACAAGGCGAAGAGAATCTTTATCGATAATCAAAATGACACGTGATAATCTTATTGATTATTGACATTGGCAGATCGGTTATTGGATTGATTCTCCGCTTTAATGCATATGACTTTAGCAGCGTCATCGTCTCAATTGTTTTAGCATATTTTGTCTTACAGGTATGTATACAACCAATACACCAATGCCTAGTCCAATACCTAGTCCGATACAACAAATATCTAAGACCTTGTCCTGTGGAATACCTTGTCACCTTGTACTCCAAATCGCTACGTATGACCCAATGAGACTCATCGAAATTAGTAACCGCTGCTTAAGATGAATGGCATCACATCTGAGCCGCCGTCTTTAGACGCAGGTTAGCTTCCCTTTTTCATTGGTTATTAAAATTATTAAGGTCCCTGCCCTGACTTTGGGACACTTAGATATATATAGATATAAATATCTGGATGTACGAGAAAGGGGCTTGCTGACTAGCTAACACATAAGACTAGCCGACTACGATCCAATTCAACATCTTAACCTACTATTCTCCCATCCTTCTACCGTATCCTCCATATCACGCGTATCGTCAACCCTTCAATCTCATCACAATGATCTCTCGGCCGAAATATCAACCCTCCAGACCGCTCAGGCCTACGGGCCCGACTCTTCCCTCGAGCGAATGCAATCCGCCCAGGCTGAACTCGCGGGCCTCTTCAAGAAAATCGAGACGGTGCGCTCTCGCGCTATTCAGACCGAGCAGAACATTACCTCCATGACTGCCGATATCAAGCGACTCGATGGCACGAAGCGGAACTTGACACTATCTATGACGGCCCTCAAGCGGCTGCAGATGCTGACGACAGCATACGAACAGCTCAGGGGCTTAGCTAAAACAAGACAATACAGGGAATGCGCGGGTCTTTTGCAGGCGGTATTGCAACTTATGCGCCACTTCAACAGCTACAGGAGTATAGACCAGATCGCCACGCTCAGTCGAGGTGTGGGGGAGCTACAGAGGGAACTGCTGGAGCAAGTGTGTGAAGACTTCGAGATAGCGTTCGCGAAGGGTGAAGTCGGATCGAGAAAGGCAACGCTGGTCGAGGCTTGTGGGGTCATGGATGCGCTCGGGGATAATGCGAGGGCGAGGCTGGTAACGTGGTACGTGAACACCGAGTTGCGGGAATACCGCCAAGTCTTTAGAGGTAACGACGAGGCTGGGAGCTTGGATAATATTGGAAGACGGTACGCTTGGTTCAAGAGGATGGTCAAGGCCTACGAGGAGGAACATGCTGGCATATTCCCACCCCACTGGAGAGTTGGCGAGACCCTGGCTATGGCCTTCTGCGATGGTACGAGAGATGACTATAAGGGTATCTTGGAAAAGAGTATGAGGAGGACAGATGGCGCCAAGATCGACGTCAACCTTCTGCTGAGCTGTCTGCAGGAGACGATGGACTTCGAGCAGACCCTGGAGCGAAGATTCTCAAATGAGCCAAGGGCAAGTATCGACACGCTCAGTTCTGCCGACGAAAGGACACAGAGCTTTAACGGCTCAATATCAGTGGCCTTCGAGCCTTACCTAAGTTTATGGGTAGAGTCCCAGGATAAGGCATTGGCGGCTATGATCCCCAAATACAAATCCCAACCTTTATTGCCAGCCGACGAAGAGTTTTCGTTACAGGCTGTTATCGGCTCTGCTATTGAGCTTTTCCATTTCTATAAGCTCACACTGTCGCAATGCGCCAAGCTATCGACGAGCGAACGATTATTGGACCTGGCGAAGATACTGGCTAAATATCTTGATGAGTATGCACAGCAAGTACTACTCACAATTCTACAGAGAGCAGGGCCTTCAGGGGCGCCCCTTCACGACATCATCCTCGTCCTAAATACCGCCGATTTCTGGCATGCCAACACGGGACAACTCGAGCAGAACATCAAAAAACGTATAGACCCTGACCTCGTGCCAAAAGTAGATCTATCATCGCAAGCCGACGCATTCTTGGGGGTTGCCAGCGCTGCCGTTATCGCGCTAGTTAACAAAGTCGAGGCGGATTGCGAGGGCGCCTGGCGGGAGATGAAGAATACAAACTGGAGCAAGATGGAAAGCGTTGGGGACCAGAGTTCTTACGTAGGCGAGTTGGTCAGCCACATCAACGCGAAGGCGCAAGAGATCCTAGCTGTAGTGGTCAAACAGCAGTACGCGCGTGCATTCGCCGACAAGTTGGTAGAACACCTAGCAAGCACGTACATCCACACCATCGTCCAGTGCAGACCCATCTCCGAGGTAGGCGCCGAGCAGATGCTGCTGGACAAGTACGTCCTGACAAAAGCGCTGGAAAACCTCCTCTCGCACCACAACCCGCCGTCGTCGTCATCGCAGACCCCGCATGTGCCGCCCGCCGGCTTCGTCAAGCGAGTCAACGCGACCATGACGCGGATCGACCCGCTCCTCAAGACGCTCCAGGTCCGCCCAAGCCCGCCCGAGGGGCTCGTCCAGGCCTACCTCATCCACGTCGGCGACCGCTCCGATACCAACTTCCGCAAGATCCTCGACCTCAAGGGCATCCGCAAGCAGGAGCAGGTGCATCTCGCCGAGCTGTTCGCCATCCACCGTGACGGGCCTGCTAACAGCACCGGCGGGAAGCTAGTCGCGCAGAGCCCGCTCCTCACGCCCCTGATGAACGCGCCGGGCTTCGGGAGCAGCGGCGGCGCGGGCGCGGGCGGGAGCGGCGTGAATATGAACAACTTGAACCTGGGCCTGGGCATCGACCGTCTAACCGCGGGACCGGGCGCCGCGTCGCTCGGGGAGAAGCTGCTGAACGCGGCGCGCGACGGGGTCGAGAGGATGAATAACAACAATAACAACACGTCTGCGGAGCAGGGGCAGGTAGGGGGTGCTGGTGCTAATAATGGGAGCAACAGCGGCGGCGGCGGGTCGGCGCAGCAGCAGCAACAGCAGCAGCAGAATAACGCGGCGAGTATCAATGAGAACCTGAAGAATTTTGGCAAGTTCTTCCGGAGGGATATTGGCGGGTTGGGCGTGAGGTTTGGGAAGAGGGACGGGAGCGCGGATGAGCATCAGGGTGCGCGGTGAGAGGGGGAGGGGAGATGGAATGAATGCGTATCTGGTGGGTGAGCGTTTTGTTCACTGCCGCTATGTTGGCATGCGGGTATCCATTTATGTAATGTTTATGATAGTACTTGTTGTTGTTGGTGTTGTTGCATATATGCGTAGGCGAGGAAAGGTTCTATATATATACTTGGTTGTACTGGATACACGGACGCGGACGCGGACAAGCAAAGCACGAGTCTGCTAGCCTTCGACGCCTTAATTTAGAGCCCTCCTCCCTCTAGTTGATTTAAACAGGGAGCTTCCTCATCCAACACAAAAGGAATTCGTGGTGGTGTATCATGCAGCTTTTCCCACAATCCCGACTTTGCTTCCCCCCTCTCCTCTCTTCTTTGAGCCCCCTCAAGCCATGCACCACCATGCTCATACCGCCATTGCTTTATGTAGTGCCTTAGGCACTCATTTCGATTCTACATAACAAGACCGAATGCTTTCTTTCTTTACTTATTCATTCCCGGTCTTTCCCTCTTCTCCAAATCCAGTTTTTCCCCTTTTCCTCATTTTTTTCGGTCCATGTTTCTTTCGCATCTAAACCTGAGGCTGGGCTTTCCAGACCCTCTTGACGGCCTCGGTGAGGCCGACGTCGTTGGTCTCGAACTCGTAGAGGCCGATGCCGGCGAGGGCGGTGGCGGCGTTGAGGAGCCAGTGGGCGGCCTTGCGGGACTTGGGGTAGCGGCTGGTGGGGATGTAGTCGATGATGACGGACTGGAAGCCGAGGTGGCTGTGGACGAGCAGGAGCGAGCACAGGATCGCGTCGAGCCCCGGGTTCAGCGAGCCGCCCGCCAGGGGGGCGATCGTCAGCGGGACGAGCCCCGCCGCGATCAGGCGCTCGAAGGTCCAGTGGTACGAGCCGTGTGAGGGGCTCGGCTCGGGGATCGGGGCTGCGTCGTTGACTGTGGTGACATCCGGAGGGTTAGTACCTTTGATGTATATACCTTATGTATATATCTATATATCTATAGATATAACACCCTCCATACTGATTCTTCCGTTATGAATGATATAGCATATATATCAAAAATGTGTCGATTGGTAATGGGGTTAAACAAAGAATTGCGTACCGGTTCCCTTGATGACCTCTAAAAGCGCATTTGTGTTAGCGAGTGCCCGGGAATGCGGAATTAACAACGGCTAGAAATCGCAATGCGACGACTGATAAGCAACAACGTACGAGGTCCCGGAGGTAACAGGCTTCTCCTGCTAGAAGCGTGGAAAGCAGCAACGCGGGCGGCATCTTTGGGAACCGCCGATCGGATCAGCTGCTGTCTCGAGAATGTGGTGGTGGTGGTGGTGGTTGCGGCTCGTCGGGTCGATGCGGCTAAAGCAGTCTGCCGAAGCAGCAGCGCGGGGCGAGCAAGAGAAGCCATTGCGAGAGAAACTATGATATTTTTTTTGGCGTTTTATATATCTTTTCTTGTCTTTCGCTCGCTTCCCTGAATACCTAAGGTTATAACGGAGTAAAAAAAAAGGTAAGAGTGGAATTTGGGGTCGACGATGATGCGTTCGAAAGTTCCAAGTTGGAACTAGTAAAGGAAAGGAATGCGAAGTTTCCCAATTGCTCCAATTGCTCTCATTGCCGAGGACCGAAAGAAATAAGTCACTTTTGATTGGTCGAGTTTGCCCGGGAAAAGCCTGGGTTAAAGAATTACATAATCCTATACCTCTTGTACAAATCGAAGGTAGTTTAGGTACCTAGGTACCCAGATACCCCTGGACTTTAGGTACCAGGTAGGTTGAGGTTTGGGGTTGTACAAAATACAAAGTACAAAGTACCTGATAGATAATCGATATGCAAGAAATCTTAAGCCCCACTAGACTTTTCGAAGCTTGAATTTTCTATTCAAACTTTTTTTTTTTACATGTGCAACTATCGCCATTGTATTATTATTGCTTCTCTTATAGAGAGGAAATAGGACTCCACGTCCAGGAAATTTTCAAATTTATTACCTGGACTTCTCCTATATGTATATTATTACTTAGAGTCGCGGGGGTTTCCTTTATACCCCTAGTTGAATTTCTCGACCCTCGGCCCTCGACCCTCGACCTGCGACCCTCGACCTGCGACCTGCGACATCCCACCATCCCACCATATCAAAAGGAATTATGTTGTCCAGCGCCATCCTTTCTGCCGCCCGAGGCTCGCCCTCGACCCTCTGTCGAAGATGTCTTATCAAGTCTCTAACTGTGAGGCGGCAACAGACAAGAACAGTGGCTACTACCTTCTTACAAAAACAAGAAGAGGCTAGGCAAATTTGGGAGAAGAATGCAGAGTTGATAAAAGAGGGCAAGTTGCCGCATCTTTGGGATATCTTTAAGGAGCGCGGATTCGTTAAAGACATCGCCGGAACCGACGAACAAATCAGAGAGCTCATGAGGGTAAAAAGGATAGGCGCCTATGTCGGGATCGACCCTACTGCGCCCTCTCTCCACGTCGGTCACCTACTCCCTCTAATGGCTCTTTTCTGGATGTATATACACGGCTTTCGAGCTGTTACCGTAGTTGGAGGCGCCACAGTCAAAATCGGCGATCCTACCGGTCGGTTAAAGAGCCGCACCCCTCTTTCCAGAGCTGATATAACTATGAATATCACCAAGATCCATTACCAGTTGAAACGCATGTGGGTTAACGTCGAGGAGCAAGGGGAGCGCTTCGGTTATAAAAAACAACCCAGGGTATGGAGTCGAGCACTAGTAAATAACAGCATGTGGTACAACACCCTTTCTTTTATCGAGGTCGTAGCCCGACTATTTAAGGGAATGCGACTAGGGCCTATGCTGTCGCGCGACACTGTCAAGCGCAAAATGGAAATGGGAGACGGTATGTCGCTGGATGAGTTCGTATACCCCTTGATGCAAGGTTGGGATTGGTGGTATTTATTCAGCAAGCGAGGTGTTCAGATGCAAATAGGCGGGTCTGATCAATACGGGAATATCGTCTCCGGTATTGACTGCGTTAAACGCATTCGAGATAGCGAGCCGAACGAGAGTGAGAAAATCCCTTCTGATTTTCTCCATTCCGTCGTCGGCTTTACTGTTCCCCTCCTTACCGATCCTTCCGGCGTCAAGTTCGGAAAGAGCGCCGGCAACGCCGTCTGGCTCGACCCATTCATGACAAGCACTTTCGACCTATATGGGTACTTCATGCGACGCCCTGATAAAGACGTTGAGAGCCTACTGAAGCTATTTACCTTTCTTCCGCTTGAAGATATCAGTAAGGCCATGGAGAAGCACAGGGAAGACCCTTCCAAACGTCATGCCCAACATGTTCTCGCGCACGAAGTAGTTGCGCTCATTTACGGAATAAAAGAGGCTACAGAGGTACAGGCTCAGCACAAGGGACTGTTTGCTAAGCCAGTCGCTAAGGAGTTAGAGTCATACCCGACGACCGCAACCCCTACCGTTAATTTGGCTGCGAATTTCCGAGTCGATGTAAAACTTCCCCAATCATTGATACTGGGGAAGTCGATAAGCCGCATATTATTTGCCGCTGGCCTCGCTGACAGCGTCACTGATGGCAATCGTCTAACGCAGCACCAGGGTGCCTACATCGGTGCTGCCCCTGGTCAAGCTGCGGCTATTAACAAAGGCATGGATTACGGCGAGCTAACCTACACGCCGATTAAAAACTGGTTCCCCCAGTTAACCAAGAACTTCCTTATCGAGGGGAAACTCCTGATCCTACGCCGAGGGAAACACTTCATCCGAGTAGTTGAGATGGTCAGCGACGAGGAATGGGCAGCTAGCGGCTTGATGTACCCAGGCGAACCAGGCACGGGCCGGGTGAGACTGTTGAAAGAAGCATTGACGCGGGCCGCCCAAGATAAAAACCTCACCCTAAACGACCCCGAGACGAGGAAGAAGCTCTTAGACGGAGCGGAAAGCCTGTACGCGGCCAAGGGAAGCGAACTCGAACAATTCCTACCTGAGCAGCTCCAGCTCAACAGCAACCGCGCGAGGGAAATCCTCAAACAGTCGATGAAGTATATCCCCAGCGACGGGCCCAAGGGTGTCAAGATGAAGACGGCGATAATCGACGAGGTGCTGGAGAAGGCCCGAGAGGAACTGGAACGCCGCGATCGTGCGGAGGTTATCAAAGCTCAGGAGGCGCAGGAGAAAGCTATGCAGGAGGAGAAGAAGAAGAAAAAGAAGGCAGAGGAAAACAAGAAGAAACCCGACCCTCCGTTCATATCGCGCCACATAGTTTAGGGTAATTGTAGATCTAGAGTAAAATGAGAATAGATTCACCTCAAAACACCGGTTGTAGTTCGTCATCCGTAATCACCGTGATCGCCTAGAGGGGATGCTCGGACGTAGGGAGGCATGGTAAAGGGTAGTAGCTCGACGTGACATGATTCCACACTGTTTAAGGCGGAATAGACCGTGTTCGAGCATATCTATATATAATGGCACATAAACGTGGTCTATATCAGCAGTCCAACCTAATTATAGTCTATACAAATTGTGCTGGTAGTCTTCCGTCTCCTCACACGGTGAATATAGGCGTGGCTGTTAGTTGCTGTTGAAAACGAGCGGGCATGAGACCGAGAGAGAGAAGGCCCTGGAGCCCCGCCCTATGGGTTAATTTATAATATGGCTTTTTGTTAGGCACCGTCTTTAATCCAATCGTCCAACCATCCCTTCATAACCGACCGCCCCTTTACCCAATCATCGCAACATCCCCCCCATCACCGATAAAACACAGTCCGATCGCCGGGCCCCAGGCTCCGTAGCTTCTTCATGATCTCGCCGTCGGTCATGTTCTGCTCGGTGACGATCTGGTCGAAGGTATGGCACCCGTCGGCGTACCGCAGCAGCGCGTCTTCTTCGTCGCCGTCCCCGCTGCTGCTGCTCCTCCTGGGCGGCAGCACGCGGCGGCCCGTCGCCAGGCTCTCGAGCACCTGCTTCGACACCACGTACTTGTGCACGCGGTACAGCAGCCCCTTGATCACGCCGAACTGCACCAGCCGCCGCACGTCCACGTGCCGCAGCACGTCGAACCCCGCGTCCTGGTGCAGCTTGATCCACTCCATCACGCTGCGCCCCGTGCAGAACGTCGTCATCAGCTTGACTAGCTGGTAGTGCGATACCGCTGGGTGTTGCTGCTGCTGGCGTTGCCGTTCTGCTTCGGCATCTGCTGCTGTTGCGGCGGCGTCGTGCCCGTCCTCGGTCGTGCCGGCAGTAGAAGTAGTGGTATTAGTATTAATAGTGGTCGACGCATTATTAACACTACTACCGCTAGCAGCAGCAGCAGCAGCAGCAGTAGTAGTAGTAGTAGTATTAGTAGTATTACCGCCGGCACCGGTAAGGGGATTGCTAAGACACACGTACCCGGCGCACTCGTCGACGATGCCGTCGCGGTTGACGACGAAGTCGTGGATGCCGGGCCGGGGCGCGTAGCAGCTGCCGAAGAAGAACATGTCGAGGAGCAGGATGGTGTCGTAGTACAGCAGGTGCTGGAGGGCGATCTGGGTGAGGGGCAGGGAGACGTCGGCGAGCCAGGCGATGCGGCGGACGTCGTTGACGCCGTCGAGGTGCGGGATGATCTTCTGCAGCGTCAGGTCCCACGTCGGGTCCACGATGTCCGCGAGCTTCATCTTCGGCACGGGCACGTGCCACCCCCGCACCGGGGGAGGCGGCGGGTGGTACGGGAACAGCTTCATGTTGAGCGTGTTAGCGTCGTCCACCGGGATCATGCACTCCCCGTAGTTGTTCAGGTCCTCCTTCACGATCTCCAGCAGGCTCTCGATCGGCCGCCGACCGCCGTCATCGTGGATGCCGTCCCCCGCCCGCCCGTCCGAGCTCAGGTACCCGTGCTGGCGCTCCATCTCGGCGAAGGTGACGGCCAGGCGGCGGACGAGCTTCTCGTAGGGGATGTGGTCGACGTCGGATTCGACGACGAGTCCGAAGTTGAAGATGAACTCGTTGCGGTGGTAGATCTCGCTCGGGATGGAGACGGGGAACAGCAGGACGCTGTACTTGTTGTCCGGGGAGTTCACCGTCATGAACCGGTTGAAGAAGGCCTTGCGCGGGATGATGTACTCCTGGATGATGTCGAAGTCAACCAGGGGCGGCTTGAGATGCGGCGTGTATGTCGTTGCGACGATACATCCTGGTGGGGATTGGGCTACGATCTTGGTTCCTAGGTAATTTTAGTCTGGTGAGCTGATGATGATGAGAGGGGAAGTGAGATTTGAAAAGTCGGAGTGAAATGTTGAAATGAGAGGGACTGAATTGGAATGAGATGAGGTGAAAACTATGGCGTATCATATTTATATAACTTTCATTACAAAATGAGTAGGTCACGTATATCGGTAGTTAAATGAAATAAATTAGGTGAGTTGAAGATATTCACATACCTTCTTGAGGGAGGAACCTCGCGTAAAAGATTCCTTGAATCATGTTGATGTTTGGCAGCACATTCTGTTATGTACTTTATAATTTTTCTACATTTCAACGTATTTGATAACTCTCGGTAGTTATAATGTTTAATCTATTCTTATATCGATGTGTTAATGGAACGCCCCCTTCTAGATGTTGCTTTCCTTAACCTACATATGTAGGAACTTACAGGCGGGTGGTTGTTCAAGTTTGGGGCTTGACGGGGCTGCGACTCCCCAGTGGACGGAATGTTCCGTAACGGTAAGATCGGCTAAAAGCCGGTGTTGATTTCCCCAACGGGTGCCAAGCCTTCGCTGCAGCTGCCTGCATTATCTGATTGTCCTAGGCTCAACCGGGGGAAGCTTCAAATGAGCACGGGCCCACATCCCACTTACCCTTCTTCGTCTTCATCACTCTTCCTCTTCATCGCTGAGCCACGGCTTTCTACCTAAATCCTTTTGCACTTTTACAATCCACATTACGTCCTTGGATATTTCATATAATTAGTAAATAGGCACCAATATATCCAAAGTTACCTACCAATCCTGTAACTGTTCTTAACGTCACAGCAATGGCCGAAGCTCCGAAGACCGAGGCTCCTAAACCCGACGAGCCTACCACGCCAATCCAAGAGCTATGGAAAGTCGTGCAAGCCCAATCCCATCCCGAAGTCTGGGGCGTCACCCTAGCGGACCCAGCTACTCACGTCCCCAGCCAGATCGTGCTGCAGAAGTATCTAAACGCCAACGACGGCGACGTCGTTAAGGCCAGGGACCAGCTCGAGAAGACTCTGGCGTGGCGTGCTAAGATGAAGCCTCTAGAGCTCGTCAAGCAGACCTTCTCAAAGCCCAAGTTCGAGGGCCTTGGATACGTCACCAAGTACGTCGCCGGCGATGAAAAAGCTGCCGACGAGAACCCCGAGTCTAGAGAGGTCTTTACTTGGAACATCTACGGCGGGGTTAAGTCGATCAATGAAACGTTTGGCGTTTTGGATGAGTGAGTTATATGCCCGTTCATTATAGATTCCATTAAACATCGTATTTAATATGGTGCTGTACTATCCAATAAGTAAACAAGTTGTCCTAACTTCACATGTTAGATTCATCGGCTGGCGCGTCGCCCTGATGGAACTCGCCATCCACGAGCTCTCGCTCCCGACGGCGACGAAGCCCATCACGGCGGACTGGGACCCGTACAAGATCTTCCAGGTGCACGACTACAAGTCGATCAGCTTCCTGCGGCAGTCCCCTCAGGTGAAAGCTGCGAGCACCGAGACCATCCGCGTGTTCGCGCTCGCCTACCCGGAGCTCCTCAAGGAGAAGTTCTTCGTCAACGTCCCGGCCATCATGGGCTTCATGTACGGCCTCATGAAGCTGTTCGTCGCCCCCAAGACCATCAAGAAGTTCCACCCCATGTCCAACGGCGCCAACCTCGCCCACGAGTTCGCTGATAGCAAGGTCCCCGCGCTCGGCGAGAAGCTGCCGGCGGAGTACGGCGGTAAGGGTGGAGAGCTGAGCGCCCAAGGAAAGGGACCTGCTGTTGAGTAGACTGATTGTGTGATGATGTCGAATTGTTTCGGGTGGTGGTTCATTAATGGTATTATATGGGGATGATGATAATAATAATAATAATGAGGTAACGACTCTGCGTTGGCTTTAGACTAAGATATCACGCCGTTATACATGCTTCTCTCTAGTTTTAATCAAATTTAAACGCTGATTATCGTACTTTCTCCCTTTCCCCTTTCTCGAATTCCAAAGCGGGATTTTCCTATATCTTCTGGATCGCCGTCTTGTGGACCTACTTCGTCTGAGTGCTGGTGTGCCTGGTCGCTAGCGTCTTCGTCATGCCCCGCGTTCCCCGTTTCTGCATCAGTCTTTTTGGAACTGTTCCGCTCCGCAAATTTGAATGGTATTCCGAGTTGTTCGTGCTCTGCTGCAATGTCATCAAAGGACTTACCCCTTAATGCAGCTTCCTTCCTTATTTTTCGCGTACGAAAGAGCCAAATTAGATGGGACGCAAATATGCCGGATTCAAGAAGTATGCTAGCATGTAGGTAGTTGTGCTATTAACTTGGGAAACTATAAAGTGGAAATCCACTTTCACTCTCGATGGTTAGACTCGGAGGGGCGCTTACCACACGATGTACAATACGCCGCCCAAGATATCGAAACTGTTCTGAGCAGCTGAACTTGGGTAAGTAATACGCGTATACATAATGGATACTATAGGACACTGTACCAAGTGACATAAGGGAGAAAAACGCCCCCAGCCAATCCACTTTCGACAAGAGTTAGTAGTTACACTTTTTGATAATGGGACTTGGGGAGAGGGCATATGTCTTGGGAGGATGTTCCAAGTAGCCTCATCAAAAAAAATAGAATCTTAGGCGCACCATAAAAAAACAAATCTAAAAAAAATAAAAAAAAGGTAATATGAACTCGGAAATCACCTACTAGACAGAAAGACGAAGTTAATCCCAATAACTCTTCCTCTCCGCTTCCAAAGTTCCACATATGGCGGTAATAAGCCGACTGCCAAGAGAATATTCGCAACTATCCCAACCACCAAAACGCCTGTGCTATGACCAGCGTCGTACAAAGGCTTGCGTCAAGTTAGTTTAATTTATAGTACCTACCTAGGTAGGTAGTTATAACTACGGGGTTCAACTCAAGGATGAGTTATGTTTAAGCACGTACCCGTAACGTAACGATCAGAGCCGCTTCCACGCCGGCGAAAACGGCAGCATTGGCCAGCCCTATTAGAACGACCCTCCACACGGGCCATCTGCTATTGTACAGCAATATCTGGCACCAGTTCACGAGGCAGAGCGCCATGAAGACCTGCGGCTGCACTTGGAGCGGGTAATTAAAGCGTTGTGCGATATTGTAGACCCCGAAAGGGACGCCGCCTAGATTAAATCGTTAGAATTCCGAGACATATTTATGTGGTAGTTACCTATAGTAGGAGGTATGGGGATGTCTCGTCTCACACAAAGCCCATAGATACATCATCGAGCCGGGGAGGCCATCGGTCTTTTTCGTTCGCCAATTCGTCCACTGGAAGATGGAAGTTAATTAACTACGAATTTACTTATAGTTTGGTATGGTATGGTGAATTATACTCACTATTTGGGGTATCGTTTGCACGCACCACAGAATAGTACCAATAGTCTATAATAAGTGATTTTTTTGATAGATTTATTAGCCATTATATTTGCATAATTCAGGTACCACTATGATACCTAGGTAATGACCTACGCCGAGGACGTTAGCGGCAACCGGGATATTCTGTTGCGGTGCCATGATTTACGAATAAAATCAACTCGCTGCAGTGTAATATAAATGTAGAAGGGCTAAAAATAAAATGCCATATGAATCGGGGGGAGGGGGGGGCGTTGGGTAGTACCCGGCGAAAGAAGAAGGGGAATTGGTTACATCAAAGGCCGATAATTAATCTTGCAGCGAAATTATTCAACGACGATGACCTGTTTTACTATGCATGTTAGATAAAGTGTTCCAATTATCGAGATAAGATCTAGTTCGTAGCATGTGACGACATAATATAGTGTATAAAGTCCTTTGTGTCTGACCTGCCAATTGCATAATATTTTGTGATCGGTCCATGGTGGGGCAGCTCGAGTCAGCTCCGGTCCGGATGGTAATTGCCCGTATGCTTGTGATGTTTGTGTGATTTTTAGCTAGGTAATACCTGACTTGCTGAATAATGCGGGGGATTTTTGATTTTTTTTTTCTCGACTTCTGGAATCAACTGGGAGAGGAACTTCTCATTCAAGAGCTCAAAAAAACATTAGGTTCGTCATATAATACAAATAAATAAAGCTACAAAGGTACCCGGGATTTAATTCCAAATTTGAACTATTTTCGGAATTACATGTAGAGCCGCGTTTGGAATAATTGATAATTGTCCAAGCTTCAACAATCTTTTAGCCCTATCCCTCTTCCGAACGTCTTCCGAAAGTACCGATATTTCAACTTGTTTCGTCGCCCTCTTCTTACTTATAACCTACTACATAACAACCTACTACCTAACATAACAAACTACTCTCTAGTAAAACAGACGACGTAAAAACCGCCAAAGTGTTTTCCCAGACTATCAGAACTCTCTGCGCAGGCGCATTCGCTACCGCGGGGTTTCAAAAGTACACAGGACATACCACCACGATCCCAATAGCAGCAGCCAGAAAGATGCATAGCAAGGTTGTCGTTATCGGCTCTGGGCCCGCCGCCCACACGGCCGCCATCTACCTCGCCCGTGCCGAATTAAACCCAGTTCTCTACGAGGGTTTCATGGCAAACGGTATCGCCGCCGGTGGTCAGTTAACAACTACTACCGATATCGAGAACTTCCCCGGATTTCCCAAGGGTATTATGGGTGCCGAGCTGATGGTAAGTAAGAACCTCAGACAGAAATTTACAACGAATTTTCATGTACCTATTAGTTAGTTAGTTAGTTATATTGCTAACGGAGCTTGTTTATTATCGTAGGATGCTATGAGACAACAATCGGAACGGTTTGGTACCAAGATCATCACCGAAACAGTAGCCAAGCTCGATCTTTCCTCGAGACCGTTCAAGTACGAGACCGAGTGGTCCCCCGGCGAGGTGCACACGGCGGATTCCGTCATCGTCGCCACGGGCGCTTCGGCGAAGAGGCTCAACCTTCCGGGAGAGGAGAAATACTGGCAAAACGGCATCAGCGCCTGCGCCGTGTGCGACGGGGCCGTGCCCATCTTCCGAAACAGGCCCCTGGTGGTCATCGGCGGCGGAGACAGCGCCGCCGAAGAGGCGACTTTCCTCACGAAATATGGTAGCCACGTGACCGTGTTGGTGCGGAGGGACCAGCTGCGCGCCAGCAGCATCATGGCGCAGCGGCTGATCAACCATCCCAAGGTCACCGTCATGTTCAACACCCGGGGCGTGGAGGTCAAGGGAGACGACAAGGTGATGACCCACCTGGTCATCGAAGACACCAAGACCGGGAAGCAACGGGTGTTAGAAGCCAACGGTCTCTTCTACGCCATCGGACACGATCCCGCCACGAATTTGGTCAAGGGGCAGCTGGATATCGACGAGGACGGCTACATCAAGACCAAGCCTGGAACGCCGGAAACCAGCGTTGAGGGCGTTTTCGCTGCCGGCGACGTGCAAGACAAGAGATATAGGCAGGCTATTACCAGCGCAGGTACGTACTCCACCTAACAGACCTACCTACCTATATTTCACCCTTATATCAGGTATTTAAGTAGCGTGGAATTCGCCGACGCTAACAATCGACAGGTACCGGATGCATGGCTGCCATGGAAGCGGAGAAGTACCTCGCGGAGCGGGAAGTGGACGGGCGGGAGGGAGCTGCTCAGGGCAAGACCGAGTGACTAATATCCGCGAGGATATAATAGGTATGACGATAGGTAACGCCGCCGCGTTGGACAGTTCCGTATGGATTAGCGCGTATGTTCAGTGTTCATTCACACTTTCTCTTTAAACTTGAGACATATTAGACATAACTATACCAGATAGACAGACTTACAGAATTACAAACAGCTTAGGTATCTAATCTGTAGCTTGACCGTTTGCTTGCATCTGTTTGGTTACTACCTGGATACGGTATGCGTTTTCTTGCTGCTTTTTATCTGCAAGTAATCGTACATGTGACCGCTGGATGTTGTGACATGAACAGACTGTATTTTTTTATTGGATCACCGTGTCAACATCGTGATAGCGTCCCTGTTGTGAAACTTTCTGGGGATAATGCCTGGTACGGGAAGTGGTCTGCGTGGGAGGTAGTCCCCAAATGGGGGATATGGAATCAAACAAAGAAAGTATGGCTCATATTAGTTACCTAGGTACCTAAGGTACCTGGTGTATGTTTAGGTTTCCCCGTCTCCAAGTGTAAATTACCAGAAGAAAACCGATAAACTCCTGTATCCTTAAGGTTATTTTTCTCAGTTTTGTATTAGGTACCCTTATCTATTAATACGCCCTTCTTTCCCCCTCTTTTCTTCAACCTACTTACCTTCCTGGTCATACAACTTCACTCCACCACTCCCAACTCTCTTACATTTCCTCATCCTTCTTACCAACGTCACCATGAGCGACAAAGATTACTCCTACAAGAGCTCCGGCTCCAACAGCCAGGTACGTGGGACCCTTTTACACTTACCGGTTTATTTACTCTTCATCTGTCGAGCCTGATGTACCAACGTATCAATGTAATTCCTGACTAACTCTACCTACCCAGGGCAACCATTACTGCGCCCGAGACTACGGCAGCAGTGCTCCCAATCAGAATTCCTACCACTACTCGAACCAGCTAGTCGCATCTCTGTTCTGATCCCTCTCTTACCCTGTCTCTGTCGTGACTTTCTTCTTTTTTTTCTTCTTCCCTCCCTCTCCCGATGCCGTATTTTCCCATGCAGACCAGCTTCCGCTCTCTTCCAGCGGACCTGGCACTACCTAGACCTAACAACTACCTAAGCTACCTAGGTAGGTACCTAGGTTAGCTAGGTAGTAAAATGTTACGTGGGGCTCTCATAGCACTATTATGTATGTACCAAATACTAACGCTTAACTTGCACCCTTGCGTAGGGACGGTTCGTACTACTACTCCAACTCCAACGGGTCTACCTACTACAACGACGGCCAGGGTAGCTCTACCTACACCTCCCCGTCGGGTTGGACAACTTCGTCGGGATCCGGAGGTAGCAGCGGCAGCGATGGCAAGAAATGAAAGGAGGATTGTCTTATGAGAGTGAATCAATCTAATTTCTCTCGTAAATAAGAGTATGGCTAAGTGAATTAGCCTTTCGGACAAGGAAAAAAAGGGAAAATGACAAAAAAAAAAAAAAAAAAAAAAAAAAAAACACACCGAAGGACAGTTACATGAGACAGATCACTATGCTCGTCCAATCCATCAGATAGCAGATACACCAATCATACTGATTTCAGCCTTCAACCTTCAACTTTGAGCTTTGATCATTTATCATACTTGAATAAGCTGATAACGAGCTTCCTTGTTATATTAAAGGTGAGTGGGTATTTTGGGAGGATGAGGTAAAAATGGTAATTTGACGAGTATCATGGAGACTAAATCTCTATGGATACCAAATTTACGACTTGTGCCTTCAAGGGATATTGACATATCAATATTCCTTCCTGTCACGGTGCAGAGCATTGGGCAAGGAGATAACTGGGTTGTTCCGCAAGGGACTCCAACTTAGGTGCCTACCCACCTAGGATAGCTTTGAAGCCAAAGCTACCTACCTCCCTATACCTATATACGTACATATTCTTTATTCTCAAGGAGTCTCAAGTGAGGCTCCTGATACTTCATGTCTCATATTTCGTATGCCTGCACCAATCCTGCCCGAAACGTAAGTCTTAAGGATACCTTAACTATCCATTCACTTGCTTTCCCACCGTATGGCTTTACGCTCATAGCTAGGGCCGGGTTTATCCTACATTTACTGATTTTTTGATTTTTCTTTTTTTGAAGTAAAGGGGTTATGTTTATGTTACACCACCTTCACCTGATCAGAACTATGATCATTCTTCGTTTGCCACTGCTTGTAGCATTTATCTTAGCGGTAATAATTAGAAACCGGTTGCCCTTTTTCTTAACCTGTGAAAGGGGGCAAAACGAAACGAGTGGCATGTATTATGCTGCGGATAATAGAAAAAACTAGGCTAAAGTAATAGAAAACTAAGAAAGCAGAGTGCAACGTACTCCAGCATGTCCTGCGGCACAACTGCGATATTACATACATTAACGGTTTCAGGGGTATAATGTCCCTTTCCTGTCACATTCAGAAATCATTAATCATTACATGAATTCACCAAGAGCAGATATAATTTGTGGGAACGGCAATAAAGCAAAATAAACCGCATGTTGAGCTGGTAATGCAGTTGAGTTATAACGCAATTGTGAACTTCAAACTCAGACGCAAACGGGGTATCAAAAACATTCCACCTTCCACCTCCTAAGGACACCAACACCAACAAACAAACAATATGCGAGGTGTTTATACTTATCTTAGACATTTCTCCTCTTCCGCCCCCCTCCACCGCTTACTCCTCACCCCTCCTCATCTGCCGGACCTCAGCAATCCTCTCGAGGACATTCGACCGCAGCGCCGTCAGCTCTCCTACAGACCTCCTTCCCGCAGTCAGAATCAGGCCCTCGGTCTCCTTAAGCAGCTCCTCCAGCATCGCGTCCCCCTGCTCTGATATCTGGGCCAGGGACACCGCCACCTTGTACTTTATCTTCAGCGTATCGAGCGCCAGGTCCGGCATACCCGCGGCGCGGTCGCGCAGCCGCTGCATCGCCGTGTCCAGGATTTCGGCGACGGCGTCGCGGGGGAGCACATCGACTTTCACCAGGGACACCCGCACGCTGAACAGCACGCTAAGCGATTCGAGCGTCTCCCGGTGCAGGGGGCCGAGGGACTCCTCTAGGCCCCGGAACGCGTGGTGCATCTCGTCTTCTATGCCGCGGAAGTCGTCTCTGCCCCACGTCTCCATCCGCTTGCCGTTCCACACGCCGGACGCCAGGCTCGTGGTGATAATCTCGCGCTGCGTGATCAGGACCTTCAGATGCGTCTTGCCGAGGTGCTGCTCCTGGTGCCGCTTTACTAGCTGTAGCCTGGACTGGGCGGCGGCGAGGGCGTCCTGGTCGTCTGAGTCTGCTGCCTCGTTTCGCTGGGCCACGGCGTCGTCGAAATCGTAGAACTTCTCGCCGCGGCTGTTGTTGGTCGTGCTCGGTCGGAAGCCGTAGGCTTGCTCGTGGTGGTGTTCTGCCTCGCGTTCCTCGGGGATCTTGGGGAGCGGTTTCATCGAGTTTGAGGGGGTGAGGATACCGCGTCTTGAAGTCGAGATGGAAGAAGAAGAGTCGGCTTTTTCTGCAGTGGGATAATTGTTAGTTATGTAGAGGTTTATTTGTGTAGTTTAGAGCAACTCTTCTTTAGACGACTTACGTTTTCCTTTCTCAGCGTCAGGAGCCTGGTAACTGCTACTTTGGCTTGCCGTAGAATTCGTAACAGCTTCGATATCGTCACGGCCGTCATCAGGTTGGATATCGTAGAACTTATGGAGAGCAGTGGCTTCTTCAAGACACATGGTTAACTTCAATGGTTCGAGCTTCTTTAGTTGCTCTTCCATCTTTGTCACCTTCTCTACACGCATGAGATTGTTGACTCCTCGCATGAATGACTTCATTTTCGACTAACATATTTATCAGTACACTCCATGACGGGACAAAGAAGGTAGAGAGAAATGATGTGGGGGGGGAAATAGACGAAAAGTTAATCAACTCACAGATTCAGTCGCCAGACGGGGATTTGAAGACATCCACAGGTTATCGCACCACATCTTCATGGTGTACACGCTGCGTTCTTCATATTTGTCCCTCGCCTCCTCGCAGACCCCATATCGGGAATTAGTTAACAATCTGAAGTTCATGTCGATTGTCCGCAGCTTGTCCTGGAGTTCATTGACCTTGAACGGAGTGGCTTGGATCTTGTAGATCTCCGTGAGTTCATATAGGTATTGGGATACGGCAGATTCAGATCGCACGTCAATGGGGGTCATGTTGGGAGGAGTATCTGGACCGTCGAGGAATATCAAACCTGTTGGATCAACACGATTTTTGGCTTTGCGAAAGAGCACGAGGAAATCTTTCACGACCCACGTGCCTAATCCATGGGCAATGAATACGGCGGATCTTGATGCGCGGTCATGTTCACGATCACGATCACCCTCTTCTACTCTCCGTCGGAATAGAGGAGACGAGGGATCTTCACATGTTGTCGCGAACTTCCTTGACAGTTTTATGGTGGCATCCGATAACCCATGTTTTCCGTTGTGGAGGATGTGATCACCGTCGAAGGCGAAGGTCCGAATGTTGACGCGGTCGCGAATAGAATCCGTAGTGAGTTTCACCCAGTTCTCTAGCAGGTTTCTGAACTTATACAGACGTTTTTCGTCGTCTAGATGGGACTTGAAACCGTGCACCAGGATGATTCTGACCCTTTAAGTTAGACACAACTATTGCAGGGACGACAGCAAGGCAAAGAGGCAGCCACTTCATAGAAGACTTACTCGTGAGTAACCATGTTTACTCTGGAGGATCGGACTATAATGTCCAACGCGGTCGGCATCTATAAGGTTACCTGTTGTTAGTGGAGGATACTAAAAGGGAAGAAGACGATAAGAAACCTCAGGTATGTGGACTTACTGCTGAACCCATGATGGTGAGTAGATGTCGCTTGGTATGAAAAGCTATTTCTGATAGAAGCTGTTCAACTGGTATTTATGATTGGAAGCAAAGATGAAAGAATTCTTGATAACTTGGGCGAAGGTGGGACTTTTATATATAATACTTGGATCCGACCAGAAGCAATTGGCATTTAAGTCACTTCATGTCCTGTGAATGATCTGTAACCATATGCATATTTGACTGGGGTAATATAGAGGCGGATGACAAGCTAATAATGTATTGTGCATTGGCTAAGAGTTGGTGAATTGGGATGAGATGGAATCAGTACGACCCCGGTGACTGCATGTGGTTTGGATTCCGTCTTGGGAACCGGTCACTGGGCTACGGACGCTAGTATTATGCAAGCAACGGCAAGTGCTCCAGATGGGATTACTTAGGAAGTCACGGTTAATAAGTCAACTGTGAGTGGCTCATAGGTGTGTTCTCCTGTAGGGTTGGTTTGTATAAAAGGAGGGTAAGTCTTCCCATTTGGCCTCAAGGGGTCACTCCCTGAACGTCCCTGAACGTCTAATTTGAATAATAACTACCTAGATGGGTGATTTATTACATGAAATTATTTTACTGTGCCAATTGACTGGCGCCTAAACGTCCTTTAAGTAGTTCTTGATAGGGGGTAGATGACCGAATTCTGCAGCATTCTACCAGTTTGTACCTCCCACACATACAATGAAAACACACATTCACTATGACCCTAAAAACGCTAATAGTTTGATAAAACCATATGATCTAAATAACGAGCTCTGGAACACTTATTTGTATAGGTAATAAACAATACCTCCTGATAATTGGTGTACATATCACACATAATAGAAACAAGCCAAAATTATTTGCGTTATCACTGACAGCAGGAGTGTCATCACGTCCTCTCTCTCTTTCTCTCTCTCACGGTATTTGCCCTGAAGGTGAATTAAAGGCTATTATATGGAATATTGAATTTCAGCCCTCTAGAGCCTCTTTGTATCTTGTCATCTTGATGGGGATAATATAAAACCCGAGGCGGATCATATCTCTCGATAACTCAATGCAAAGGCCATGCAAAAGCACCCAAGATAGATAGGGTAGAGTCGGTTATGGTTACATAAAAGATCTATATGAAGTAGTATTGCTAAAATAGGTTATCTGCTCGACATTGGTTGGCTGGACGATGCCGAGAGTCTATCAGGAGTGGAGAGTGTGTATTGGCATTCTCTCCGCTTCCTCTTATACACATTACGGATATCCGACTTCGGTCATAAGCTGTACCGAGATAGAGTAGGCGCTTATATGTAGGTACCTGGTATATATAGAGAGGCTGGGTAAGATGCTTACCCGAGAGGGGGAGTATCTTCAAAATAAGGGATATCATTGTTACCTTTTAACTGTTCCCATAAAATAAATAAATAAATAATTGTGATATTACCCCGTCCTTAGGTACCTCTGTTCAAAAAATCCCATAAAAATGGCCACCCTCGACCTCCGCCTACCTGAACCGTTCGCTAGCATCCCGAGGGAATCTTTCCTGTTCGGACCGTCGCCTATCCAGCACCTGCCGCGCATATCCGCCGCGTTGGGCGGTAAAGTCAACGTTTACGCCAAGCGCGACGACTGCAGCTCCGGACTGGCCTACGGAGGGAACAAGACGCGGAAGTTGGAGTGAGTATCTAACCTTTACATATTCCTGTCTCGTCGCCGAAAATATCACACCTTACCTTGGATGGATATGTCACATCACATAAATACAATGATACTTACAACTGGAAGATTGAATAAATAAAAGAAACCCCAAACTGACAACAAAAAATCCCAGGTACCTCGCAGCCGACGCCCTAGCCCAAGGCGCCGACACCCTCGTCTCCATCGGCGGCGTCCAGTCGAACCACACGCGGCAAGTAGCCGCCGTCTCCGCGGCCCTCGGCCTGCAGTGCGCGCTGGTGCAAGAGCACTGGGTGGACCTGCCCCCGGGGTCCCCGGACGAGATCCTATACGGCTCCGTGGGCAACATCCAGCTGTCGCGACTGATGGGCGCGGACGCGCGCCTCGAGCCCGCGACCGCCTTCGGCATCGAGCACAAGCCGACGCTCGCGCAGCTGCGCGCCGAGCTCGAGGCCAAGGGCCGCAAGCCGTACTACATACCGGCGGGGGCGTCGGACCACCCGCTCGGCGGCCTGGGGTTCGCGCGGTGGGCGCTGGAGGTGGAGGCGCAGGAGCGGGCGGCGGGCGTGTTCTTCGACACGGTGGTGGTGTGCGCGGTGACGGGGTCGACGTTCGCGGGCATGCTCGCGGGCTTCAAGCTCGCGCAGAAGAAGCTCGGGTCGCGGAAGCGCCGCGTGGTCGGCATCGACGCCTCCGCCACCGCGCGGCAGACCTTCGACCAGGTGCTGCGGATCGCCAAGGCGACGGCCGCGAAGATCGGGTTGGAGGAGGGCGATATCACCGAGCAGGACGTCGAGCTGGACGATAGGTACCACGCGGGCGTGTACGGAATCGCGGACGAGCGGACGCTGGAGGCGATCCGCTTCGGTGCTAAGACGGAGGCTTTCATTACGGATCCTGTGTACGAAGGGAAGAGTTTGGCAGGTATGATGGATTTGATTCGCAAGGGCGAGATAGCAGAGGGGAGCAACGTGCTGTATGCACATCTCGGAGGACAGTTGGCACTAAACGCGTATCCTTCCATCGGTCACTAATAAACATTGTCTTGATATTAATAAAGCCTTGATTTCATTTTGCTTCGTAACCAAACGTGATCTATATATAAGCCAGTCATTACGAGACCCAGCCTCCATGCCCATTAATCATTTCGTAGCGAGAGCAAGATCGGCATATATGTACAGCAATAGACTCATCATATACGTATATGGCCTTTCGTTTCAATGGTGACGGTGTGGTGTTTCCCGCGTCATTCATTACTATCCACCATTGATTTTCTTGTAGTGCAAGTTCCCGAGCAAAGGTCTGAAGAGACCACTCTAGGGACCTCTCGTTTTTATCATCTCAATCGATCCCGCTGGTCCCGGAAGTCCATGTGACGTTCCTCAGTTGGTGTCCCCGCCAAGCTACCAAGGGCATCCGAGTCCCGTCGTGGGAGATCGGGCTCATCGCGATAGATTTCACCGCCTTCGGCCTCGAGCTCCTGCTGCATCAATTGGATGCGCTCGTTAGCCTTGTTCTTCTTACCGAGACCCATCCGCGAGCGCGAGCTCTTGCCAACACCGTATCCGTGCCTGCTGCGGGACATGATGTTTCCGAGGCCGATCTGGCGGTCCCTCCTGTTCCACAGGCACGTTCCAATAACGCACAGAGCAATGAACCCCACTACGGTTGGCAGGGCAATTGCTAAAGCGCGAAGATCGGGCGTCTTGCCGGTGTCCGGCTGAGGTCCAGGGTGTTGCGTAACTAGGATAGTAGGACCTGGGATGATATCACTAGAGTTGCCCTTGGCAGTCAAAGTGGCTAGCTGCAGGCTGATATTCTTGCCAGACTGGTGTTTTAATATGCTGTCCTCGACTTTGTAACTCCAGAAACCCCAAGATGCGGACCACTTAGGTGACTCGAAAGCTTGGTCGGTGATTTCGCCTGTTGTGTCGTTGAGGTAGTTACCTTGGACTAAGATGGTCGTATTCGGGTGTGGGAAGTACGATGTGTCCCAAGTAACTGTTGAGCGCATTAGTAGGTCGTCTCTATGTCCACTTTAGATGAAGTGGTGTAGCGTACAGTAGTATGTGGTGCCAACATATAATGGTGTACCTTGGGTTGGTAGACACCACGGAGCATTATCACCATCTTTGTTGTGGCAGACGGGGAACGAGCCGGCTCCAGCTGTACCACCGGTTGCGGTAGGAATCGGAGCGGTACCAGTGCTCGTGGAAACCTTGCCGTAGTTGGTCTCGGTGAAGACAGTTGCGGTCAGGTCATGAGGAGCGCCTGAGAGAATTGTGGGAGTACCGCTGATGGTGCTGAGAACGGGGGTAACAGTGCTCGGCTCGCCATCTTCGTTAACGGTCACCCAGGGCTCGAGGGCGGAATCTGTCTGTCTAGGACTAAGATTCGGCATGGCAGAAGCCAAAGAGAACAGCAATGCTGATCCCACAGCTGACGTGGACGCGTGCATCGTCAAGCCTTTGTTGAATCTCGGATTGGGAAGTAGAAAAGGAGGAAGATACGGAAGACTCGGGAAGACTCGAAAAGCCTCGAGGATCGCGTATCAACAACTAACTACCTAAACAAGAAAGCTACATTAGCCAAATAATTAAAAAATAAAATAAAACAAACAAATACAATTCATAAGACTCGTAATTACTTACTGTAGGGGTCCTTATAACAAGACGAGATAGGTCATCCAAGTACCAACTAAGAGGTAGATGAAGCTGTTGTCCCTTCTGTCGAAAGTTGAAGACAGGAAAAATTGAAGGGGAATGTCAACAACTTAGAAGATGAATTCCGGGAGATCCATGAAATAAATGTATGGAGACATTTTGTATCCATACTTAAAACCAAGAAGCTAGGGAAAATATGGCATGCCATAGGTCCATCGCGTCCACCGATCCAACTATGGAAGCCCACTAATAAGTGCTTCTACCCCTGAAGGCTTGAAGAAATCCCCCCTCCCCAGCCCCCGCAAGGGAGGTACGTACCTACTTTAGTCTGAAGAATGAGGATTGTGGCGTACGGTACCTGCATCTACAGCGCGCTAGCTGGAGGCGAGCACGTACATGGTTAGGTACCGGACAGAGCGAAAGAACAAAATGGATGCGCATTATGCAGGACGGGAACACGATCCACTGTTACGCTACGTACAGGTACCTACCTAGACCTAGGTAATCCACGTATCGGTCAAGTACTCCGTATTTGACTTACACTAGGGTAGCTCAAGTGATTAATTCGCGCTCCTGATTTTAATGCCGCTTCTTCTAAAAAAGAAGCGGTAACTATTAGACACAATGTTCTGTAAGTTAAGAGGTAACTAACAATTTTCTAAAACAACAACTTTTCAAAATGCAAAAGAAATCAAACTAAAATTTAACTAGAAACAAATATGTGTATTTAGTATATTAATTATATGGAATGCTACCTTTCGTTATTTCGATGATGCTTGACTTTGATAAAGTAAAAACGGAATGTGATCCTGAAATATCGTTTGTTGATATGGTGATATGATAACAATGGTTTTATAATTTCGTTGGCAGAAAAGCACCATGAACGGTATTGTAGGTATTTAAAGCCAGCGGGTTAACAGCACTAATTAATTCCAACTCCTAGATTGCTTTTTTTTGGGTGAATTACTGGAGTTGTCTCTGCCTAAACTATGGTAGCTTGATAAACCTGAGGAACAGTCGAGTCGTATCTGGGTACTATCTTTGAATACACGAAGTAATACAGAGACAGGCAATAGTGAAATCATTCACCCCGACATCCTTACGAAAGGACATAGAATTCGAAGCCAGAATCAATGAATTTCCAGTCCGGATCATCCTTGCCGATAATCATGTGTGGAGTTTTGGTCGTCTCTTCCAACAAATGTTGTTTTGTCGTCTCGTGACTATTCGTTATCATTACGGAAATCTGCTGCTCGGTAGAGCCATGCTCTGTAGTAGTTGGGTAAAACAGGAATAGAGGACCTGCACCACCTTGATATCTATTATAAGATGCCCGAAATTGGCAACGACCTTGATGGCTTAGTCTCCCCAGAAATCGAACCCAGATTTCATTGCACATCTTACAATTGCTCTCTGTCCATTTCATGTAGTGCCTTTGATGGAATGCCTCATCTACTGCTGAATACTGACGGTGTGACCCAATGAATTGTATCGGCCCATTTCGGAACGCCTCTTTAATGATATAATGCGATACGCAGAGGATATCAATGCCGGGGTTGAATGCGCGACGTGGATTCAACCAAGCCCCGTCTTCATCTACGTCGAACGTAAGGAGGGAAGACTTTTGCATCGCGAATCGAGATTCTCTGCAAACGTGCATAATAGCTGAGGTTGGTAAGTGAATCCATCGGTTCCGGGAGACACGTTGAACATTTATTTCCAAACTTTGCTCGAACTTTTGTCCGTATCTGTATAAACATATTTTTGGCTCAGAGAGATACTCAGTGATAGCAGCCTCCCTACATTTTCGGATTAGTCTGCCAGCCCATAGAGCATCTCCATCGTCTCGGGCACTTGACTAAACAACCATCTAATGGGATCCTCTTAATGAAAAGGAAAGTGACTGACTAAATCATTAACCGAATCTCGAGCGGCAAGCGCGGGAATAGCGTGAAAACCTCCAGAGATGACATGTTCGTCGCGCGCGAGCTCGCTCCGGAATTCAGATAATGCACAGCCGGCTTAGCAGGCAAGCGAATTTGGAAAGTACTAGCTTCAAACTCGTCGAATTGTAGAAAAAGAGCGCGTAAGGTAGGTAGATACTCTTTGAGGATGCTTGTTGGATGGGTTTATTAAGACTGACAGAATAGTTCTGGTTGTTCAGAGTAGCTACTTTTGTACTTGCGTGCTTTTCATATGTTGATATCTTCTTATAAAAAAATGGTTGGTGAATAGAGATTTTAATAAGTGCAATGATCTGATGCACAAAGTTCAATATTCCTACTTTAGAGGAGAGTACGATACTGTGATATCAGCGCCTTACATGATCTAATGGATGGGATAGCAGCGGCAGCGGCAGCAGCAACAGCAACAACATGGAAGGAAAGTGCCGACCAAGTGCAGAGCAACTGAAAGCACTTTCTAGGTAGGCAAGTATGAAGCCTAAAAGACGCCTATCGACTTAGTACATCCAGGTGCCTACAAGGAAGGGCGAATGAGCTTGAGAAGTGAAAAGGGGTAGTAAAGTAGGTGATGCAACTATCAGTTACATCTGCTCCGCTTTGATGCATGGCAAATCATTAAATATGGGTCTTCTATTCAGCATCACGTGCGCGCGCGGGAGGTTCGGGTTTCTGCTTATTAGTTGCGCGTTTCTTGGACGCGTCGTGTATAAATAACTTGTAGAGGTCGCGCCGTGTTGTAATTCTACCCTTTCTCGTACATGATTCCACTTTGGTATATATTGTACTACTATATACTTCGTTTACCAATATAGTCCTCACCTATTTTCGAGCTTCGGTTGCTTATATACAACCCTCTTTCTCCCCAATGACTTCAGCGGAGAGCCTGTATCATCGCCTCCAGTGGACAAAATCCCAAGAGGGGGTCTGGTCGCGAGATATTAATGAGTGTGAAAGATTCTATCAGTCGTCTATCCGAAGTGGAGAGGGTTGCTATCCTGTTACTGCCTGCTCATCATTTACCTTCGAACCCTCCGAGACAACAGCAACTAATGACATCGAAGAACATGTCGTTGAGACTGTCTTGCGGAAAGCATGGACTGTTCTCCATTACCATCACCCGAGTTTACGTACTCATGTCGAACGTGGCGGGGACAGTAGCGGATGGAGAAGGATTTATCCTACATTCAAAGATAAAGGAGAAGAAAAGGGATGGTTGGATTGGACTTTCAAGGTCATTGACGTCGATGGAGATCCACTCCAGTGGTACAATAACACATCTGCTCCCTTCGAGATCTCAACCTTGTTTCTAATCAGGTCGAAAGAGAAGGGAAAGTATCTCGACCATGTCTTTTTACGATGTCCTCACGATATCACAGATGGCGTTGGCATTCTCCACCTCCTGAATAACCTATTCACTCACGCTGCTCTAGTTTACGAACAAGGAACTCAGTACGTCCTACCAGCCTGGGGTAATGAGCACGAAAATCTTTCCCCATGCATTCAACTTGTTACAGGAATCCCCGAATCTTACACCGAATCTCAGATCAAACGCTTTGAAGAAATCCAGATTCGAAACAGGGCGACCTACACTCATCCCGGTCTCCTCAGTTTACCTACAAGTTCTAGCCCAACTACATCATCCCAAGGTGGAAAGAGACAACGCGTTGCAGTTTCGGTTTCCCAGACTACGACCGAGAAGATTCTCCGTGGCTGCAAGGTCCTTAACACCGGGGTGACTGTTACCCACGTCTTCATATCGGCTCTGGCAATAGCGCTCTCCGAACTACAGTTGCGAAAAGACAAGCCGTACGCCGTTCGTTATGCCAACCAGACTATGATTAACCTGCGGCCGTACTGCCGCGAGCCCTATAACACGCCTGAGTACGCAGACGCTCCGTATCACGCCGTCTCCACCCAGGCCCTGGGTATAGATCTAGTTGTGCCAGGTTCAGCAGATCCGAGCGGAGTAAGCAAGGTAGACGAGTTGACCAAACTCTCTGTCCAAGTACGAGATTACTTCAAGGCCGTTCGCCCAGTATCCTCTGTTGACGATAATATCATATTTTCTCCATTGGTGTTCAAAAGGCTTACGCCTCCACTAAGTTTAGACCCTCATGCCGTGTTAGGAACTCCTATCTGCCCAGTGCCTCTCTCATCGATCGGCAATATTGCTTCGATGGTGTCACCGGTCCACGGCCCGTTTAAACTTTCGTGGGTCTGGAGAGCCAGTGAACCAATTGGCGCCGGCGTGGCAGTACTTTTGGCCACTTGGGATGGGAGAATTGAGCTTTCTGCAGTCTTCGATACGCGGTATCATAGTGCTGAGTATGTTGAGAAGTTCTTGGGACGTATTATGGCTTGCGTTCTCGAAGGACTTAGCATTGATGAGCATCTATGATACATACAATAACCTATCAGTCTTATCCGCACACCCCACTATAGCTTCACCAAAACATACCAACTTTACAAAATGATTATAATATTAAAATAAATCGTAAAAATACAAAACTTTTAATTTTATATATAGCTTTGCAAGGCCTTTATATAAATAGTTGTTATTATATAATTGAAGCAATATGTACTGTGAAAAACGTGGTGTAAGTGGAGGAAAGTATCGTTTCTAAGAAATAGTTGAACTTTTTGGTGGAGAGTACGTTCTATTGAATTTACATCAACGTAAAACTTGTACAACAATTTATATTGAAATTATTAAGTAATAAATAGCAAATATAAGCATTGCATTTTATAATTCAATAAGTTTTATATTTTTATCATTTACTTTGATATTATAATTGTCTTGTAAAGTTAGTGTATTTTGGTGAGGCTATAGTGAAGTGTGCGGATAAGACTGGTAGGTCACTGTAACTCCAATTAGCCAGCATATCATATTATAGAGTGCCCTGTCAGGATCCTTGATGTGACATGTAGAATAAAGCGTACATTATATATGCCAAGCACTGAAAACTAGAGCCACCTAGGTCGTTTGCATTTATTATGACACAACGAAGTTATTTCGATGCTTCTTACTCCAACTCGTGACAGCTAGAAAGTTATAAGTAACAGACTCTCTAAAATTTAGCTATTCATAGTAGGTATCTCGAAACCTACCTAACCTAGCCTAATATCACATCAACGCGGCAGTCATCCGCATAATATGATCCTTTCTCTTGGATGAGTGCGTGAGATGTGGTTGATGTTAGAACCGAACACACATCGCATTGGATTCACGCCCACTCGAGGATGAATATCTAAGTCAACTGAGAATAGGGGCTAGCTTGGTATTCAAAACTTCATTTCGTACTGACATAGGAGAATAGCATTGGGTCCTGGTCACGACGGATAATTTGTGTCATGCTACGCTGCGACATGCGTCCAATTTGAATGGACCGTGGAAATATTACGAAAAAGTCTATTAGTTTGGTCAAGGTTGCCGATATATCGGATCACGAGAAAATGGTCGAAGCAACTCGTAGCATACCTACCGATGGGCTCCCTTCGCCCCGAACAGGGAAACAATTCAACTATGTGTCATGGCTTTTGGACGCAATCGTGGCTCTCGACGACCAGGCTATAATTTCTCTCCTTTGCGATATTGGTACGTAACAGCGCACTCCCTCATCACATAATTCTAGGCACCTACACTTACATGAAAAATATAAGCTAAGAATTGACAAGTACACTAGAGGGGGCTGCTAAGAACTGTGCTGCTTGTATGCTGAGGCTGCCGAGACAAGCCATGGCGTAATGGTTGTTGATGACCCATTAACCAACAAGCCGACGGCTGTTGGGGATGCATTGTAGACAATCTCCTCTTTAACATCACACCTTGCTACGGAGGATTCTCACAAACTTATTTTCTGTCTGCCTCAGGCAAACATACCTCTCATGGGCCTTTACGCTCTAAGAGCTTAGTGGATTCAAGCAATCACGATAGAACAGTGCCTCTAGTAGACTAGAGTGGCCTATTATATGTCAATCGTTCCGCCGAATAGAGATTCTTCTCTTATACATCTTTAAAGATTTTGAGTCGAGAATAAAGGTCTGTTTACCTTACATACCTGATATTTGCCTTCGTGACTTGCCTAGCCATGAAAGCCCTCAGTAATTTGGAGAGAGCCCTACGGCTTATCCAGGAAGCTGGGTTTCCCTACCCCAGCAGAGAGCTTCTCATGGGTTTCCTAGTGGAGTCTGTTGACAAGGACCGAGCTGCGAATTACCTTTTAGTTGTTTATGATTCTAATGAGGATGAATATTCCGGGCTATCTACCGTTTTATCTCAATAGAAATCCCTCATAGCTGTATGTGAGTCTTGTAAAACCACCTTCAACGAATTCCCACGAGATATATGCGCACAAATACCACCTTAAGACATCTACTAACAATTATGGACCATGGTATAAGTCAAAAACGGCCTTCGTTCCCGTGTCTACGAAGAGGGGGCTGTTAGGAATATAGAATTCAGGGACAATGTATGCTTTCTAATAGGAACGAAAGGCTCTCGGGAAGATCCTCTCATAATAGTAACAGAGATATTCCCTTCGATCTCTGGAAAACTCAAAGGCGTGAGTACACACTCGTTACTATTAATGCCCCTTGGTGTTTAGCTGCTGATAGAACTGACTTGGTCTTTGCGATAGTCACTGAGAGAAATGCTCGCGGCTTTTATTAGTCCCGCACATGAAGGCGTCCTTGAGTCGCAAGAGATCATTGCTAGCCAACTACAAGTACCAGAGTCAAATTTGTGGCTTATCCGGTCCTCCGCCTCAAATGCCTTCTCTCAAGGTTTCTTCCAAGTTCGTGTAAGACGAGATACAAGAGTAAGTCGCTATTCCCTCACTCTATGCACTATGCACTATGCACTCTTAGAGTAATGTAAAACATTAAATCACAAGTAGGCCATTATTAGCACCGCATTTGTCGAGACACCAAGATCTACCGCAATCGTTCGACAGGCTGATTACTGTCAAGTGGACTGCAGCAAATCTTACACCCCCAAATCCCATTGCCTTGGATATCCTAAGTCGCCTAGCACGCCCGATCAGAGGGGTTTGTCTTGCTGGATTCATTCCATCCAAAGATGCTTTCAACCAGGTTGCTGCCCCGCGTTCAGCCCATATTAGACTTCGGACATGGCTCTTACCCAAGCGAAACGCCAGTGTCGCCTGCATGCTGGCGCTATGGCTTATCTTCCCTATCTCGTTGCGGACTATGTTGTACCGCTTGTTGGCTTACCTAGGCTCACGAATTTTTCAGCAATCCAACAGTTTCAAAGTTCAGCGTCTTCCTTTTGGGATGTACTTAAAAACTAGTCCGAAAGAATGGCACATTAGTCTGTCCAAGGGGTATAAGACTCCAGATCTACTCCGTCGGCGGATAGATATACCGGGCCCTCGGCCCCTTTTCTACAGAAGCCGAGTTCAACGAATTTCTTAAAAGTGCTCACATTCGTCGCGTGGTCCATCGCAACGGCCACAAAATTGTTTTCACGCACGAGATATAAACATACGTAACATCATAGTTGACGAGAAGACTGGGAGGCCGCCTGGTATCGTGGACTGTGAAACGGCTGGGTGGTATCCTGACTAATTATTGTGAATATACCAAGGCACATTTCGCTACAAAGCTCTGCTGGCGTTGGTTGGGGGAAATCGTCGAGGTGGCATTCAAGGATTTTGGTGACTTCTCTGAGAATTTAATCGATATCGAACGGAAGCTTTGGCAGTATTGTTGGTAATAAGAAGAGTAGATTTTAGATACTTTTGAGCCTGAAGTCTAAAATGATTTACCAGGTACCTAGAGCAATCCACGAGGCACAGTTGTTGTCTATTAATCCATACTGGAACAACGTAACCAAACAAGACCCCCAAACGGAGTGATATAATGATTTATTACCTATTTGCGGTATTACCTGTTCAACAGTTCAGAAGTCGGACCAGCTGATGACCTTCCCATACCAGGCAGGCACCTATTAACAGTATATGGACCCATTGATTCCTATCTATAGCTCATCGCGAAAGGGAAACCAATATACCTCTACAGGTACCTGTAATCAGGCTTTCGCACACTTATCCTTCTCTTCCGGCTCGCAAGTGTGGCTCTGGCCTTCGCGCAGGCAGCAGTGGCATTCGGCGCATTGGATGATCTCTCCGGTCGCCTCGTCGGGTTTCGGGGAGTTGTACGTACTATAGCATTGACTGTCGTCGTTAGAAAGTATCTCGTTGTTATCGGAAGACGACGAGGACGACGATTGCTCATCGTCAGCATCTCCCGCGGAGTCATGAAAGGTGTTACTATTTCCATACCCGGTATTAGATGAAGTGTTGCCGCTTTGGCTTTGGCTTTCGTTGGTGGATGTGGAAGAGTCGGTCGAGGAACCGTCGTGGGAGGACATCGTGCTCCGTTATCGATCTTTAAGATGTCAGAGGGGGAAAGACGATGTGAGGGCTTATAGTCAGTATAGTTAGGATGTTGCTTTTATTCGTTAGGTAGAGGATAACTAAGTAGAGGATAACTAATGGTCGAAAGTGAGAAATGTTGTATGTCTTCGAATAGAAATGTGCTCGGAAATCAAGATCGTTATTAAGTTAATTCCTCTCTTCTATAACCCACTCCAATGAGCGAGAGTTCCATAGAGGCAAAGAATTTGGTCATAATATTAGGTAGTATTCAGCCAAAACTAAGATATCACGACGTGAGCAGTTGGAATAGTCATCGGGTAGCTGGTAAAACAAGTAAGATCATTGCGTGTTGTATTTTTGGCCCTTAGTCAGACGTGGCAGCATAAAGTAAGTATGCATACTACGGGAAAACGTGAAGTATTGAAGCAATTCGTGATGTTATTCGGGTAGAATTATCACTGTCAGGGGTGAAGTTTCCTTGGAGAGTCAGAGTGACGCCTCCCTTACCAGACGTAACCCAGCTCACATAGAAGCCTCAGATGGTCTGAGCACTGACCTTGAAGAGAAGGTGTAAACTAAACCTCATTCCTATACAATTCATATACCACTTATTGCTATCAAGATATTCACTTCCTATATGCTTGAAATTGTAATTAATTATCTAAAGCTTCAAGTATAAGATGCTTATAGTTATTAGCTGTAATAGCCAAGACAAACACTCATTATAATTTACTGCAAACAAAAAAGCCATCATTTTATATCGCTTTGTGATTGTTCTGAATTTTGAGCTTGACTGGTGTATTCTCCTGTTGTTTGATGCAATAATTCAAACCAATGAAAATCTTACTATGTACCTCTGTTGAACGATATAAGAACTTGACCCCTGACGTACCCTTACCCAGCACAGCGGGACCTATCCTAAATTAGAACTAGCGCATCTACCCGGGGCGACATCGGCGGTGAAATTTTAGGGTGTGAATCATTTTTATCGACTCTATCATCCCACTTTGCTTTATCACTTATCGCTGCCCCGCCATAGCAATTCATTTATTGACCGGTTCCAAGCAGCAATAAAGTTTACGGCCGACTCGAATTAATTTTATATTTTGGTTCTATATTTACTTTGTACAAAATACAAAGCTAATACATCAATTGGGGTCTTTTCTTCTTCTTTTTTACAACAAGAAAAAAAAAACCCAATATGGCTCCTACGGTCTTACATTTACGCTCCGAGGATAAGCCTCTCGAGCACCGCTCTGCGCTCACCCCCACCACAACCAAGGCATTGATCGATGCTGGTTACGTCGTCAATGTCGAGAAGAGTCCCGTTCGCATCTTTGACGACGAGGAGTTCAGCGCGGTGGGAGCTACATTAGTTCCTACAGGCAGCTGGCGAGAAGCACCTGAAGATCACATTATTGTTGGTCTTAAGGAGCTCCCCGAAGAGACTTGTAAGTGCATTCAATCCAAAAAGCTCGAGGAAGGGCAAATGCATAGTATAATCCAGCTAAATATCTAACCCGTTTTTCTATAGTCCCCCTCAAGCACGTATTCGTTCACTTTGCACACTGCTATAAGCAACAACGGGGATGGGAAACAGTTCTTGCCCGATTCCCTCGCGGTGGCGGCACCCTTCTCGACCTCGAGTTTCTCCAGGACCCCGAGACGGGGCGTCGCGTAGCCGCCTTCGGATACCAGGCTGGCTTCAGCGGCAGCGCCCTAGCTATCAAGAACTGGGCCTGGCAACTAACGCACCCGGGCGGCGAGCCCTTACCCGGTGTTGAGAGCTACCCTAATGAAGATGCGCTGGTCGCCGACATTAAGAAGGACTTGGCCGCGGGACAGGCCAAGGCAGGCAAACTCCCCAGAGTCATCGTTATTGGTGCATTGGGTCGATGCGGCCGAGGCGCGGTTGATTTGTGTCTTAAGGTCGGCATTCCCACGGAGCAGATCCTCAAGTGGGATATGGCCGAGACGGCTAAGGGTGGTCCGTTCGAGGAGATTGCCGAGAGCGACATCTTCGTAAACTGCATTTACCTCTCTTCCCCGATTCCCCACTTCGTCAACATCGACTCCCTGAAGGCTCCTGGCCGTCAATTGAGTGTCGTGTGCGATGTCTCCGCTGACACCACCAACCCTCACAACCCTGGTAAGATAACGTGCCCCGAACCTAAGTTTCCCCTAAACGATACTTAATGCTGACATGTATTTTAGTTCCCATCTACACCGTTGCCACAACATTCGACAACCCTACCGTACCCGTCGAAGGACTAGAGAACCCTCCCTTGAGCGTCATCAGCATCGACCACCTACCCAGCTTGCTGCCTCGGGAATCTTCCGAGTCCTTTAGCAACGATCTACTGCCGTACCTGCTCAAGCTGAACGAATGGAAGAACAACCCGGTGTGGGCCGGCGCTTACAAGCTGTTCCAGGAGAAGGTCGCGACGCTACCTAAGGAGGCCCTAGAAAACTAGATGGGATGTCGACGGAGATATACCTAGGTTGTGGCGATGATATTTCCGCTATAAAAAAAAGAAAAGAAAAGGTGGCTTGGCGTTATGGGACATCATGTAGGCAGAGAAGAAAAAAAAATCGAAAACTTCGCAAGTGCAGTTGCAGTTAAACCACAATAAATCAAAATGACATGGACGCAATAGGTGCAGTAGATCCACCCACCCATAAAGTCAAGCTTGGTATAGGAGAGTTTTCGTTATAATTCGTAAGCTTTGCTACGCTTTACCACTCACTGTTTTGGTACCTAGTTATGTGATAGTAATTCATTTTCGACGATGTATTTTCTATTACCTCGCTCGCGCCTCTCTCTCTCTCTTTCTCTCTGCCCCTCCCCTCTTCCCCCCTTCCCCCCTTTCCCCCTTTTCACGAGGTACATAGAATCGTCGTAGAACGGCGCTTCTCGGAACTAAGCCGCACCCCAAAACTCATTAATGACAACAAGTTTATCCCGCTAGTTGAACGCCGGAGATGCATATACGCCCACCACCCCCACGTACCTACCCTAACCCCCTCTTATACATATACACATCTTCTCACCCCTCCCCGTTTTCCTCTCCTCCTCATCCTCTTTCCCGCGCCCATTTCTTTCCCCCTTCCTTCCTTCCTTCCTTCCTCACCGTCTCCCTTCCTCCTGCCCCCCCTCCGCCCCCGTCGTCGTTGTCCTCCTCCTCCTAGTCTGCCCGCCGATCCTCTCGGCCCGGCCCAGCTTCTCGAGCTCGCGGCGGAGGTCGTCGGGGTCGCGCTGGGGCAGGCCCCACCACTCGCGGTGGAAGGCCTCCTGCTCGAGCTTGCGGCGCTCCTTCTGCTCGCGCTCGCGCGCCCGCTGCTGCCGCGCCGCGAACCACTCCTCCCGCGCCCGGTCGTGCTCCGCCGCCGTCGCGTGCGCCTGCATGCACCCGTTCATCCGCCGCGAGGCCGCGCGGCACGCGAACGCGATCGTCACCGTGCGGTTGCGCGCGCAGTCCGCGAAGGCTGGGGTTGCGAGGTTGGCTGTTAGTGGTGAGATCGCAAAGGGGGGGGGGGGGGAAGAAGAAGGAAAAGAGGAAGGAGGTTGGGGATAGGGGTTCGTTTTGCACGTCGAGACTGTTGCGCAGGCATACCTACATACCTAGGTAGGTAAGTATCTATATATATACATATAGGGCAAAGATGATACGTGGAATCGTAGTACAGAAGTAAAGGCAGAAAAGAAAGGAGGAAGGGGAACGGGATGAATCCAATAAAAAGAAAGAGACCAGAGAAAAAAGACAAACCTTTAATCTCGTCCGCGCAATGGTTCCGCACCCGCTGGTTGAACACCTCCCGGACCTGCGCCTCCTGACTCGCCGACAGCGGCAGCGGGTTGCGCGAAGGCATCGGCAACCTGATGTCCTCCGCCGTCCTATCGTTGTTCCCTTTCCCTGTACTACTGCTGTTGCTGCCGCCGGGGGCTATCGGAGGTTGTTGAGCTGCCATTGCGGTGGCCATGAATTATCGTTCGATTTGTCGTCGGCGGCGGCGGCAGAGGAGGAAAAGAAAAATTTGGGGGGAAGTAGACGGATGGATAGAATGGTTGATTTATTTCCGTTTTCTTTTCTTAGCATTATTCGCTCTCCATATGTTGAGGATTGTGAGCTACGCAGGTCGGTCGTATCGATTGTGATGGTGCGTGATGGTTTAGACGGGATTATGTAGCTTTGCTCTACTATGTAAATCGTACCTCTGTAACTAATTGCATTAATTGCATTAATTGCATTGGTTATTTTGCCACGGTTCGCCGCCTGCTCTACCTTACCTAGGATCATGGATGATGCCAACATCGGATCATCTACAACAGGTATGCAATAAAAGGGGGTCTCGATAAATCGGAAATGGATGACATTTATATTCTCTATATTTTATATATTTTATATCCTAGAGCTATTGGTTCCTCAAATGCAAGTTTCACTGCTAGATCACCAAGAACATACGTAGCTCTTAAAGAGGAATAGATATAATGTAGGTATATTTCGTCTTATTTATGTCATCACGTACGGGCAACTAAGTCGTAGTAGATCTTTGAGTAAATAGTTCAGACGCTGACGAATTTTGTAACTATTGCTTTTACAAAGAACCGCTTTGCCCTCACTATCGCAACCACACAACCTTCATCGCCCAGCAGCTTAATCCAGCACAGGCGTATTCGGCACCGACGCGGATTCTTCTCTTTCGAGGTCTAGACTCTCCTTTTCTTTACCTGTCCTTTTCTTCATTGCGAACCGAGAACCCCAACCAACTGACTTGTCTTTAGCATGTCTGTTCATGCTTGTAGGTCCCAGGGATGGGCTGCTGTGGAGACTATCGTAGCTCTGACCGAGATTCAATCCCGGTCCGCCACCGCTGCTCTCTTCCGCGTATTCGTCAAAGCTGCTGCGCTCGACTGATGCGTTTTTATCAGAGTTGGTCACGCTGCCTGGGCCCTTCTTAGTTCCTAAACCCCGTACCGACGTGAAGCTAAATTTTGAAGAGCTCCCTTTTCGTAATAATTTTCTAAACCCGCTTTCCTGTTCCTTATTCCCAAAACCGAGTGCTTGGTCGGAAAGAGTGTTAGAAAGCGGTTGATCCAAAGTGAGCGACTCGCGGGATTCAGCGACAGACGGCGCGCCGATGCTAAAAGCGTCGCGAGATTTGCGGGACTCCGATGGCGAGTCGTCTACAGAAGGAGCAGTGGCTTCGGACGCCGACGACAATGAGACACGAGGCCTATTTTCCTTAGCCGAGTCCCTGTCCCTTGCTCTATTTTTACCCTTGTCTTTTGAGTCTCTAAAGTCTTTCTCCGATTCTTTTTCTTTATCAAGCTTGTTGCGGAAGAACCCTGCCATAAAGCTAGGTGCTGCAGGGTTGAGGCGTTGGCTCAATGTTTTAGAAGACGGCTTTGTACCAATAACTCCCACTTGGCTGGGCAATGCCTGCAATAATTCCGACTCGTCAAGGATTTCATCATTGGCATCGGCTAGTGTGGTTTTTAACGCGGAAGGGGAGCCATGGATGGAAGGTCTCCTAGATGGGTTCCGAGAGGCTGCCCATGGGTTCTCATCAGCAGACCACAATCGACTGGGCTGAGGGCCCCGGGCCCAAATGGAAGAGTTCTCGGTAGATGGGCGCGGTAATTCAGATGAAGCGATAGAAACCGGTCTAGGACTGCTTGGATCACGTTCCGAGAATATGTTGCTCCCAATGCTAATACTATGCGCGTTTGCGCCGAGGCCAAATCGGTGCGAATGAAGGCTTCTCGCGCTGGGACTGCTAGCATCAAGGATTTCCGATCCCGTAGAGTTCCGATTAAGTAGGTTCCAACTGGACGAGAAACTAATTCGCCGCCTAGTCGGAATGGCGTCTCCATCTTCTACTGAACGGGGTAACGATTGAGTCTGAACAGATTTCAAAGACCCTAGAGCTGGCGGTTCCTCGACCGTCTTAGGGCCACGGTGAAGCCATGGCAGAAAGCTTCGCCTGCTTGTAGCCTGAGAAGGTGGCACAATGGGTGATGACGTTGCGTTAAGATCTCTGATCCCCTTAAGTGACCGACGTTCGCTAATTTCACCGGTAAATTGAGAGAAGGGTAAGTGATGAGAGGACCCGTGTGGGCTAGAGAAAATATTGAGTGAGCGGGTCGAAGAGGTAGGCGACTGGGGATTATTCTCAGGCGAGAAGGCTGAGCCGAACGTATTGTGGCGGGACGGCCGAGAGTTAGGACTGGGAGGTTCGTCATCCACAAGGTCGTCAAGCATTCCAGCAGGTAACAGGGAGGTCGCTGTGGGACTGAGTGGTGCGCCGCCAGTTAGTTGTCGAATGCGTTCCTCGTCAGGCGGGCCAGAGAAATCGGGGTTGTGTTCTATGTAAGGACCCTGAGCGAACCCAGGGGGGATAGTAGGAGGCCTAGAAGGACCGAAAGTGGTTGGTGCTCCATATGACCGATCTGCCATCGCAAATGACATGACTGGTGACGGCACGGTCACATTGGAAAGGGAATTGCTGTTCCGGCTTCTCCTTTTAAGCTGATTTTGCGTCCCCAAGTCGAAATCAACCCCCGATGAATTTGCTTGATTGTACATGAAAGGAAGACCGGACTGCTGCGCAGCCACTAATTGGGCCTGTAGTACCGTCTCGTAATCGTTGACCATTCGTAGCTTTCTATTAGCAGCGTAAAGTCGTCGTTGCAAGTCCCTAGCACGGATTTCCCAGTCTCTCCGAATTTGACGGTCTTTCTCGCGCCATTCTTCGCTCTCTTCTCCACCAGGCAGCTTTTTCCTCTGTTCTTCCGCTTCTTTCAACACCCTGCTCTTTTCCTTGAGTTCCATTTCTTCCTGAGTTAAGCTCGCCTGGGCTTGGGCAATTTCGGCACGCAGCTCTTCAGCTCGGCCATCGCCTTCTTTCTGACAAATTTCACGGTCCTTCTCGAAAGCACTTTGACGTTTTTGCATCGAAGCCATGTCTTTCTCCCATTTCGCTATATCGTCATAAAGCTTTTGTCGTTCGGCCTGCTTCTCCCTTAAGAGCTTTTCCTTCTGAGATTTCCGCTGCTGTGCGCTTCTCATAGCACGTTCGGTTGAGCCCATTTCCCTCTTCAACTTCTCAGTCGTATCATCCTTCTCCTTCTGTATGCGCCTCTTCGTCTTTTTCTCTTCCGCTAACTCTTCCATCAACTCTCTATGCTCCTTTTCGTCTTTTGCAATCTGCGCCTGCGTTTCATCGATCTCTTTCCGAATGCTCTCGAATTTTTCTCCTAGCTCCTGCAGAGATTCCTCTGAATCTTTACTTAGGGCGTCCTTGACAGATTGATCCATACTCGTTGTAGAGGGTGAATGCTTGCGCGTTAAGGTATTTCGTCTCGGACCGACTGGGGCGGCGGGATTGGCTTCTCGTATAGATACTACAGGATTGTCTGGAACGGACGCTGTTTCCACGCCGGCAGCAGAGCCCCTAGAGGTTCCATCCTCATCCGCATGGTCGCTGGGCATAGCTAGCTGCTGCTCTTCGGGAACAAAGTTTGACGGTAGACGACCGTCTCCGAGTTGAGGGCGGCCATCTCTTCCATATGTCCGTAGACGTATTACGCGACTACCAGCTTGAAAATTATTATACCCGACCGCGATGACCCTTATGTTATAAAAATGATTTGGCTTCAGACCGGTGACGGTGATAGCTGTCTCTTGGTTCGCGGAATCGCCAACTAAAGTAGCGATTGTTAATTTGATTTGAATGAATTACACATACCGCCTCCTCATAACTTACCATTGACACCATTGACTTGAATCGTAAACTTGGCAACCGGCCGAGTGGGCAGCGGGCGTGTCCAGTTCAGAGTAGCGGCATCTGCACGAATACCTGCTAACGAAACATCAGGAGCATCAGGTACCTCGACACCCAGAACACCGATCAGTTCGTTGACAGATTTTCGAAGGGTCTGAACGGCTCGGTGGGCCAACCTATAATTTTGCGACGGTGTCAGATGCGGAGAGTAAATGACAGCGGGCAGCAGGCAAACCAAAAAAAAAAAAACCAAAAAAAAAAAAAAAAAAAAACCAAACAGGAATTTACATACCACACGACAGCAAGTCCGGTAACAAGCATATTTGTATGACACAGGACCAAGACGTCCAGTCGTAAGAGCTTTGCGGTGTGGATGCTGAACTGGTATATCTGGTAAGGTGTGGCCTGGGCAAGCTCAGGTGCCACGGCCCAGTAGAACAGAACACAGCCGATGACAACTATCAAGTTTAGATGGGCCGTCTTGGGCTCAATAAACCACCAGGCCAGCAGAGCGCAGACGAAGAGAACGGTAGGGACAGACGTCGGCCATGGGGTCCATAACATATCGCCGTGGTCGGGAAGCCAGACTTTCAACAAAGAAAATTAAATATTGCCCAAGAGGGGAGAGAAGGAGGGGGGGGGGGGGGGGGGGGGGGGGGGGAAAAAAAAAAAAAAAAAAAAAAAGGAAAAAAAAAAAAAAAAAATAGTTTGTAAATTTTTGCCGA